GTGGAGCAGTGCCAAATACAAGGTTTCAAGGGTTGAAAAAAAACTTGGTCAAGATTATTATTCTGTTGAAGGGATGAACCGCCCCTACTTGAGGTCAGAGATTCTGAAGGTTTGAAAAAAATGGCGAGAGTTTCCCCTTATATATTCTATCAAACATATCCCCCACCCACCCAGAAAAAACAAAACCGAACAAACAAAACAACGACCGAGGGGCTCCGCGCAGGTGCCCGACCGAAGATGAACTCCTCGTCATCATACCTGCACAGGGACAAAAAGAAACAAAACACAAAACAAAAGGAAAAACAAGGGGAAAGGGGGTTGTGCAAACTCAGAAGCAGTGCAAGAACGAGCGCTTTTTCAATGGCACGAGCTGTGCTACAGGGTATATGGATACATCGCATTCCAACCTGTGCGTCTCCCTTTACCAATATGTGGTTTTCACATAGGGTGATGTGGTTTTCACATAGGGTGATGTGGTTTTCACATAGGGTGATGTGGTTTTCACATAGGGTGATGTGGTTTTCACATAGGGTGATGTGGTTTTCACATAGGGTGATGTGGTTTTCACATAGGGTGATGTGGTTTTCACATAGGGCTGGGAGGAATGCGATTTCCACAATGTGTTTTCCACACTTGGTGATGCGGTTTTCACATACTCACATCTCCGCCCGTCTTCTCGGTCTCTGCCAACTTATCAAGCTTCACTGCAATCCTACCCTCAATGAACTTAACGAGCTTTACCACTTTCACCGAGCCCTCCTCGTCCCCACAAACCATTTTGATGTAGTCCATGACAATGGTTTTCACCTTCTCCTTGTTTGAAACAATCTTGGCAATCGCCGTGTCCATCTCCCGAATAGCCGGAAGCATCTCCACCATCATCTGGGGCTTGTTGACATTAGTGGCCTTGCCGTGCTTCAGGAAGTCTTCCATCCCACGAAGCACTGCCAAGTCCAGGTCGTTGAAGGCACGGCGCACTTCATCTGCTGTCATGGCATTCCAGATGTGGGAACTTCCGACAATCTTGTCGAACAGCCACTTGTCATCTCCACCCAAGCTTGTTGGAGTGTCCTTCTTCAAGTAGGTCTTGATGACCTTGTCTGCATTCTTACCGCCTCCGCGGATGCGAAGGAAGAGATACACCCTGTCATACTCAATGTCGTTCATGTCCGTCAAGACTGTCTTGTGCTTGGAAGTGGCGCTGATGATGAAGTCCAACTCGCTTTCTGTGATCACCTTCTTCTCAGACTTGGACATGACAAAGGTCAAGCGGTTCTTAATCTCGTGGTGCAACATGTCCAAGCTCATGAAGTCCTTGTCAATGGGGATGTCAAAGAGCACCTTATCACCTGAGTGGTCGCAAACAGAGAGAGTGCTGACATTCTCAAAGAAGTCAATGGCTGAGTTCTGGTAGTGGTTCCACTCCGCCTGAGCCAACCAGTCGATAATCTCCTGCTCCTCCACTGACTCACTCGCCTCGCTATTGGTCTCTACCTCCTCAACGGCGAAATCACTGACACCGGTGAATGGCTTTTCCACCTTCCCGTTCTTGACCACATCCTCAAAAATCTTGTGGTAGTTGGAGTCGCTCTCATCAAAGACCTCGGCAACGGCGTAGCAGTTGTCCTTTGTGAAGCCAACATACCACAGGGCAAGGATACTGTTTGTGAGGAACTCATCCTTGAACTTCAACACCAACTTCCAGTTGTAGTCCTTGAAAATCTCGCTGAGCTTCTCAGAGACATTGACCATCAGGGTTGAGACCGACACGTCAAGGCAAATTGGAATCTCCATGGTTTCAATGCGAAGGGAAGGGCACCTGTGATCGTAGGGCTTCACGCGAATGACAATGTTGTCATCCTTCTTGGCTTTGGCGGAGTATCCATGAACAGGTGTAGCAGAAGACGAAGCCTGATAAATGCTAGATGCCCTCTTGCTCAAGAAAGTCATCTTCCCAGCAATCAGCGTAGCAAGGTCAAGCTTGGTCATTGACTTCCTGTTCGGTTTCAAACTCAACTTTGCCAATGTCTCGGTCATCTGCTCCTTAGTCATCTTCATCAAATGCTCCTGCAATGCGGTAGCATCGCTCACCGCAAACTCGCTGATGTCATTGTCAGCAAGGATTCTCCCCATTGGGATGAAGTAGGGTGTCATCCCCTCATCACTGTCAGACAGCATGAACACCAAAGCCATGACAGCAAAGGGCACACTAACTGACTTGCTCAAAGGGGCTGGATGCACTAAGCGCGTCCATTTGAGAAAAAAGTCATAATCAGCGACCACTTTCAAAATGCTTCCGCACCTCTCTTGTCTCAACCCCTGACAACCAAAATGAACAACACCCAGCGACAAACGCGCCTCCACAAGATGTAGTTGTAGTTCGCGAAGCCGGGCGGGCACGACGGGAAAACCCAAGATTAGGGGATTATTGAGATGAATGTTTCAGTTCTTGATTATACTATAGTTGCAACCTATAAAATCTTATATGTTGTAATTATAGTATAGGTTTCCCGTATAAGCCGTGGGGGTGCTTTCCCACATAGGCCTTTCCCATCCGCATTTTGCCATCCATATTTTACTGGGATTGTTTTCAAGATTTGGGTTAACGGTTTTAATTCTCCCTTTTCCATTGGTTAACCATTTTTCGGGGCGAACATAGGGTTCTTTTTTAAACTGTTCGTATTTGTTGGAAATGGGAAAGGGTCTCAGGTTGGATCAAGGGAGGAATTATTGAGATCTTGGGGTTGCGATCTTGGAAATGGAAAAATGTTGGTATGTAGCTTGGATTTTTTTGGTGGGATTTGTTGAGGTGGTATGTAGTTATGATTGTTGTTATTGAATGAGTGTAAGGGTGATGTTGAGATGGGGTAAGAAATGAAGATGGGTATGTGAATATGTGTTTTTTGGTGTTGGATTGGTTGGGTGATTGAATTTGAATGTTGAAAATAGGTTGTTTTAGTGGGCGTATTCAGAATGTGCCCAAAAGCGTGGGGGGGACCCTAGGACCGGATGGCAAAATGCGGACGGGAGAGGCCTCCACTAACTGTTGGGGGGGGGAGGGGGGGGGGGTCCACGGCCTTATATATTAAGTCTCCTAGATTCTCCACATGGGACAAACGCAAACTCAGCAAACAGGCAATGTCAAGAGCAACACGCACGAACACAACTGTTTTCAACAAAACTACTATGATTGCGAGCAACCGCAGCACTCAACAACAGCAGTGAGAAACCAACGCACGCAGACAGCGCCCAAATACATGTTTGAAGGTGTCAAATTATTCCAAATAGGTCATGTTGCGTCATGCTTTCATTGAGGTCAGCTTCAATATTCTGGCTGTGCCCTACGCAAGGACCCAGCTGGCAACGCAGATAATGTACCCTGAGAATTTGTTCATGTTTGCGGAGAGTGCCTGCGGCTATGCTGAGGTACCCCTACTGCCCTTCGCAAATCCTGGATTACTCTTACCGGCAGCCGCTGATAGGCGCATGCGTTGCTGGCTTTGCTGGGGGCATGCGCAAATACCACCCACTTGTTGAATGTAGGCAGCACGTGCACATAGGAAACAAGAGTCCTTCAGCGACCTATGGATGACCCAGTGTACCTTGAGAGCTGCTTTGGCAGGGCGGGAAGTCCACCGGCTGGACGGCGATATCGTGCTCTTGCAGGAGCCTCCGGATGCATGTGGACCGCTGGCATCTATGGGTTGCTCGCTGCTCAAAAGGAAGATATAAGAAACATAGTCAAAATTTCAGGGAGCATCATGGATGTCCTTGTCGCTTTCTTTGGACAAATCTTCCATTGAGCAGGAATGCACGTACTTCACGTACCTGAAGTTCTTCCAGCCGCTTTTTGGCGAGAAGTGCGCCGGTGTCCAAAGGCCCATCAATAATCGAATTCCGCGGGCACCCTTCCGGTGTTTGCATTGGTGTCCTTCTTAGGTTGGTGTGATCAAAAATAGGAGGCACTGGTTGAGATGGGTTTTATTCCATGTACCAGGGCCATCTATTTTCCCAAAAATACACATGGGTGTCTAAGTCCGCTGGCACCTTTCTGTTTGTTCCTCTTGTCTTGCAGGTACCACATCCGCTGCACGCTCAAAGCGAGCCATGTGTCAGAGGGATGCTTGATGATGCTGCGCAAGGAGTCCTTCGAGGCCTTTTGATCGAGCGCCTGTGAGAACGTCCTTGGAGTGTGCGTGAATTGGTGGTGAAGGTCCTGGCCTGGACGTACACAATATGGGTATGGGTCAAACAAAACACCAGGGAACCTGTGGTCCTTGGTTCCATTTACCAGGGTTCCATTTTGGGTACCTATTGTTGCCCCACAGCCATACTGTGGTTGGGATCCCATTTTAGGGGGTTTTCGGTGAATTCACCACCCATTTTAGCACCTTTTTTAGGGTGCACCACCCATTTTAGGACCTATTTTAGTGGGGATTGGGATGTTCACTGGGGGGTAACCGGGCTTTTGACCCATGGCCATATATAGATCCTTCTGAATCACGTTGCGCAAGTTGCATGATACATGGAGTTTGAATGCTATGCAATTTGTGGGCCTTCCGTGTCACCTTGCTCCACAGTTGTCGGATCCTATGCAAGAGCGTCGTTTGAATCTCCCCCAGATTGGTATGGGTCAAAATGAACTGCAGGTTTTAGTGCTTGTTTCCATTCACCAGGGGTTTATTGTGCGATTTTTGACCCACAGCCAGATCTTGACAGGGGGTTTCGCCAATTCTCAGTTTCCCATAGCAAGCTTGAACCAGAGCCCAAAGTTCTCGGGAACAGGCGCGCGATTGCGTTCTTTAGCCGGTGACGCAAAGCTCCGCTGTTTGAGGCCTCAGGCCATTTTAAGAACCATGAACTCCACGGAACAGCCAAACTTCAGCGGACACGTGCACTCACGCTGTGAAGAAAGAAAGACGTACTCGGAATATGATGCTCTTTCTACCTTGGCACAAGGGGGCAACCAAGGCCACCACTCGAATTGAGTAGCATAAACCATGGATCCCGTCCCGTCGCTACAATCGAATCGAGGTGTCGGTGGGGCAGGCCGCTGCATTTGCCTTCCATGTTGCTATGTCCATGGAGTGCAAAGGGCCAAGTCTCCACCTGCAACGCCTCTAAGCACCTTTCGCACGTGGGGCACCGGGCAAAGCTCGCCCTGGGGTCATGCCATGTGGGCCGTGTGGCTTCTGGTGCCGGCGGTGGCTGCGCTTCCATGCGAGGAGCGCCAGGCGGGGTGCGCCATTGGAGGGCCTATTTGGGTTTGTCACAAAAGTTGTGCAACCTGAAACTGGCTAGAGTCGTTTGGTTGAAGGGAGTTCTCAAAGAACCAGGCACTCCCATTTGGGCAACAAACTTACACTGTATGCCCTTAGTTCACGAGTTAGGGCTATACCACAAAAACCGGTGGCTTTTGGCACTGGTCCCTACGGACGCCGGAGGAGACAAGGGGACCTTGTTGACATGTTTTTTGTTTAGCTTCCAGGCTGATATGAGTTTGTTTTTGCGGCTTGCTCATCGAAGCACGCTCAGGGCTAGTGAACCGAAGTAGGGCTCTTGAACATGTACTCTTACTGCTTGAGAGCCAGTTGACATCTGCCACAGTGGAAGCCAGTTGTGTTTCTGCCTTTTTGAACCAACTTGGTATCTATGGCGGTGGGATCCAACCATGCATTTGAACAAGTCGCCTCACCTTAGATTAGGAATAATTAGAAGCAGAAGTGGTGCATTCGTCTCCGTTGCCCAACACCCTACAGTAACCCTCTGAAAAATACAAGACAGTCATCCGGCTTATCATACGGGAGTCTTTCTAAATTGCCAGTCTTAAAATTAAGTTCCGGGACGTTCTGAAGGTCTAGCGCGAAAGGAAAGCACTGCATCGCGAAAGGCCGGCGAAAGGAACGCGAAAGGACTTGAAACATAACAAATGCATGGTAGAACCCTCGTTTGGGCTCGGAAACAAGTTTTTCAGGACTGGTTTGTCACCGCGAAAGGAAAACATGGGGCCGCGAAAGGACCGCGAAAGGCAGGCGAAAGGGTCGTTTCCAGGAACCATATGTTTGTGCCCAATCCATGCGGTTTCTTCTTCTCTCCGGGTTTTCCACTCGGCGTTTTTGTTTTGTTTTTCGTTTTCTTTCGGTGCGCCTTCGCGTGAAGTGGTCCAGGCCTGGCAGCAGATCCAGCAGCAGCTGAGGCAGATGCTGCCGCGCTACTCCGGGCGCTTGAGCTTCGCCTCTCGCTCGCGCGCGCGCGATTTTGGGACGGGAGGGGGAGGCTCGGCCTGTGGCCGAATCCATGGCCTGTGGCCCTATGCCGGCGGCCCCCCCGTTTTCGGGATTCTTGTGGCTTATGTCTTTTCGGGGCCATGGTTGTGTTTGAGGTTATGGAGTTTGAGGCTGTAAAAAGAACTCTGGGCCATGGTGCTTTTCGGAGATATCATAAAATATGTTGTGCGGGAACTTGTTAGCAGGGATCCCTGGGCATGGGAGGCACAGCTGGAAGTTGGGCTCATGGATGTCGATGGTCAGAAAGCAGCCTTTGAACTGCCCTGTTATCAAGGGAATCCCCATCAAAATGTCAAAGTAGTCAAAGGGATGCGAATTCCGCTTTGGTATCACAGAATAGTGATAAACCTACAATCACACCAGTGAATGATGGGGTTTGATACGAACTGCCACTTCTTACAAAAATCATGTGGGCTTGTTTTTGTTTGACCCCCCAAAATGTTTGTTTCCTGTTGGACTCCCTATAAAAGCAACCAACAAAAACAGGTACCCCCCAAAAAAATCAGACCCATGTAATGCTGATGCAGCTGTTCATTCCAGAGTTGCTGCCAGTTCTTTCTGTGTGGGTTCCAAAGCCTGATCAGGCTTCCCGCCTCCAAAGCAGGTTGTTCAGGTAGGCAGTTCGGATTCACATGAGGACAGATTTGGGCACGGGATCAACCCACTGGAGCCGAGGTGCACATTCAAGAGGACGTTCCGATGGCAACGGCCCTTCACAAGAACGTAATGAACCTCTCCGTGCCTCCAGTTCTGCTTCAACCCCAAGTTCCCATACCCTGGGAGGGCGAATGGAGCTTCTGCCACTCTGGCCTGCTCAGTGTGAAGCTCTTTCTGGTGACTCAGTTGCCCAAGCTCACCTTTTCACCTTTTCCTTTTGCTTGCTCATTTTAGTCATCGCAAAAGCCAGCTACAGCATCAGTCAGTTCCCCAAGCTCACTAGGGCTCACGGAAAGGACGGTACTTTTCCCCGTGTCTGTTAGGGCAGCGGCATATTTGACCCTTCGGATGTTCCCTCTGGAATTAGACCCTTGTTTAAGTGTATTGTGCATTATTTAGCAGCCTTTGCCTTTGGATCTCCTCTGGAAATTAGACCAGGTTCATTTTTATGCCAGGTGAGGATGTCCTTTGCCATTTCTCTTACTTGTTCTTCTGTCATCTAGAATCTCTTGAACTTCGACGCATGTTTGATTCTGACTCATGTTTGACTCATTTGAGTGGGGGATTGGTTGATGTTCACTGGGGGGTACCCGGGATTTTGGCCCATGGCCATTTCATGCCAGGTGATGTTGGGCATCACAGGGAAGAGCGCCCACGCGGCGGACCTCTCGGCGGCTTTGGCCGCGGAGGTGCTGAAGGCGCCGTGGCTGGAGATCCTTGGCAGCGGCTGGCCGGTCTTTCGGCTCTTCGCCACGCTGCACCGCTGGGCCTCCCCCCACATGGACCCCAAAGGCGGGGGAAAATGGAGGGTGGAGTGGGACAAAATTGCGGGAAAGGCGTGGTTTTTGAGGGCGTTTTTTTTTGGTCGGGGCTTTTGCGGGAAAAGGCGGTTCGAGGGCGTTGTTTTTTTGATGTTTCAGGGCGTTGTTTTTTGTTCTTCTTTTTTTCTCCGGATGGATGGAGTTGAGGCGGTTCTTGTAGGGTTGATGGGCTGGAAAAGAAGTGGGAACCCAGGAGACAAGCAACGACGGGTGGGAGAAGTTGGGTGGAAAAAGGTTTTCGCACCGGAGTCACAAGGTTGGGCTTGAGCATCAATCATCAAGTATGTTTGAGTTCGAGTGAAAGGTGGCGCGTTACTTGTATGGTCCCAAAGGTCACAGCATTGCTCAAATGCAACGGTTGGCATCATCTTCTCAGCAATTTGTAATACCCTGCGGCATAAATTTCTGCCGCAATGCATTGCGGCGGAAATTCCAGCCGCATTCCGGAAAATCAGCCGCAAACAAACAAACATGCCGCACCTAAAACAAAAACGCCGCAACACTGCTTCCAGAATTTCGGGCTGGCTGAGCACAATCCCAAGTTTCCATGTGTCCCCCAGCAAGCAAACATGCTGAGCACACGCCGCTTCTTTCTAGCTCCATTCCCCGAACAATGTTTCAAAGCAAGCATACTATCATGGCGGACAGCTTGCGACCCCAATCATTCAGTTTGTCAAGGATCGTGAAAGCATCTAGGGGCCACGACAAGGCAGTTTCTGTCTTTGCCACTCATGTTGCCAGTTGATCCGATGCAAGCCGAGGAGAGCTTTCTCCGCCCCACAACCTGCCAAAACAACGGTCTGCAGGGACTACTTTTTTTTCCGATCCAGGAAATTTTCGCGGCATTCCCGCCGATTTCCGCCGCATTCCCGCCGATTTCCGCCGCATTCCCGCCGATGTCCGCCGCATTCCCGCCGATGTCCGCCGCATTCCCGCCGATTTCCGCCGCAAATCGGGGGAGGAACAAACGGAACAAACGCGAAATAAACAAAAGGCCACAGGCTGTAATGGGTTGATTTCGTCGATTTGGGACGATTTGGGCCGAGCGGGCTTATCGCACTCCTTTTGCCCAAACAAAAGCTCCTTGCACCAAGGAGCAGCGGCAGTGCCACTGGACCCTTCGAGTAAGATGCACGCCGGTCCAGCTTTGCAGGTTTCGCCTCATGTTCCTAGGGCACAAAGGCTCGCGCAACCTGATTTGAGCCAAATGTCACAAGTGCGAAGTCGTGCAAGTTGTTGTCCTGCTAGCCGAGGCGAGCGGATGTGCAAAAACAAGTTCTGCCGCAATTCAGAGAAAAAACACCGCAAATTCGCAAGAAATGCCGCAAATCCAAAAAGGTGCCTTTTTTGAATGGCGGCAGAAAATTATGTCGCAACGAATCCCTGGGTATGCCGGTAGCCCGCGACAAAACCAGTCCGTTTACAGGGCAGCGCAAAGCAGAGTAAGTATAGTCCCATTAGCCAAGCGCCCAAGCATCTTTTTGTTTGCTGAGGACCTCAATGGATGCAGGCAAAAAATAAAAACGTGCTTTGCCACCACTCTTGCTATCAGAGGCCAAATGCCTGACCCATCTAACTCCACGAAATTGCGCCATATTTGTTTCGGATTCACCCTTTCAGCTTCAACCTCTCAAGCCCAACGCGTGTGGGCGGGCGGGCAGAGTGTGTGCGTGGGTGCGTGTGCATGTGCGACGTGTTTGTTTTGTTGAGGGAATCGTTTTTTGGTATTTTTTTGGCGCCCAATTTGAGGCCCGGGCCCAATTCTCTCCGATGTCCCGAACAAGTTGCTGCGCTGAGGCCCCCTTGTGCCTGCCCCAGCCCCAACCCCCGGCCCAAAAAATGCGTTCGATGTCACCCTTGAACCCGGCCTAAAGCAATGGTATCCCATCTCGGGGTAGGTGAATTCACCACCCATTTTAGGACCTATTTCAATGTTTTGACCCATGGCCCAGCCCCCAGCCCCAGCCCCCAGGTGCCGAGATCTCGCCGCACGGGCGCGCGGCCCTGGCCTCCGCCAGCGCCATGGTCTCCCACTGCGATGCCGCGGAGGCTGGCGCGGCGCGCCAGGCGCGGCGCGGCTTCGCGGCCGGGGACGGCGACACCGCGGAGGTGGAGGCGGTGGGTTTTCGGTGAACGGGACCTTGGGAGGGAGGGGGGTGCAACGTAGGGGGGGTAGGGGGAGATGACGCCATTTTTGCGGGGAGAGTGAAGAGGACAGAATTTCTGGAGGTGTGTTTTTTTGTTGAACCGGTTGGTGGTTATTGGTCAAGGGTAGGCCCTGTCCCTGTAAAGCAGTGAAGATACAATGGAGTGATTTTGATGTGGATGAACCGTTCATTCGTTGGATTTCAGGAAGCCGTGGGCGGAGGGCTGAAAGACTTGGTTTTAGGGGCTCTAAACAGCCAACACGTTGCAACAAGAGAAATCTCTGAGAGGAGGCATTTGCTCTCCGAGAGAAGAAGATGGAGAAGGATTGCTTCTGGACGGTGCATGTGAACCGTTCCTTGGGCGGCCACTTGGGGGAGCTCGAGGCATCCCAGGCCTTCGCCTCTTGCGCCGCACGTCCGGACTGCGCCGGTGTGATGCTCAGCTCGAGCGCCGGGAGCCTGCGCTTGGGGGAGCCCTTGCTGGAGTCGGCGCCTGGACTCGAGGCACACGTCCGCTGGTGTCTGCCCTGGGTGGCCACCGAGGGCACCGAGGGCGGCGCCGGTGCCCTGTGCCCTTTTGCGCCGACCGTGGGGCTTTTGGGCACCGCCTTGCGGAGACTGGGCGCCTAGGCTTGAGATGTGTTGAGAGACTGGTTTCGACGAGTGAGAAGTTCCAAAATGTGAACCTACTCGTAGCATTTGGAAGTTCAGGGATTGCCGTGATGATTGAAGTATCACATTTCCTCGCAACTGCTGGCACATAGAACATGTTGACAGCACCGGTTGGCTGAGCAGATTTGACATGGGGCACTGCGGACACTCTGCTGGGCTTGGCACGAGGCAATGGACGCACCATGGAGAAGTTTGCCCCAGAACTAGTTGCACAAGCCAATCTTGAGGCGGGAAAGCGTTGAGTGAGAAATGTCCATGCGATGCATAATCACGACCGCACACTCAGATGACCAAGTATGTTTCAGAACATCTCAGAGCATCATGTGGCTGTCAAAAAGTAAGTTAAACGTACATTTACATTGCAATTTGTCGGCAATCTTGCCATCTCTATCCATCCAAGGAATTTTTGTCTGGGAGTGAAGTGAAGAACCAGCCCCTTACATCCTAAGCTCAGGTGTCTACGTTTTCAGCCCAGTTTGGTGCTGGTGCAGCTGGCAGAGAGGCCCATGGTCACATTTGAACTGATGGACGCAACCCGCGTGATTGAGAAAGCCCATGGATTTGCTTCACTGATTCCACATCCAAAGCCAAAATGGCTCTTGTATTTAAGGGTTGTATTAGTTGCATTGGGCTGATGAGATGAACCTGCGAGTGGTTGGCACTCGGCACATTTCCGGCGACTTGCGTAGGCATGGTCGACTCAGTGGCCGCTCTGGAAGGCACTGCTGCTGCGACGGTTGGCTCTGATGGCTTTTGTGCGTAGCCTGTGACCGTTTGGCTCATTCCCTGTGGAGGGCAGTCTTCCCAAGCTCCTACATTCCACAAGCCAGAAGTTAGGTGGAATCAGAATGATCCCAGAGATCGCAGTCCACCCAAAACCCTTCCCCGACCAGGGCCTCGGGCGAGCTTTGTGTCTTGCCAGGTGCTGGGGCAATTGCAACAGCGCCTGGACCGACCCTCTCGCATCTCGCATCTCGCTTGGAACGTCAGCAGTCCTTTGGAGTGGGCTCCAAAAGCTTGACGACGTGGACTGTGCTCTTGAGCTGTAATGTTGACCCCATATTATGAACCAGCCTATTGCTTGGGGGGGTGGGGTGTTCCCCTCCAAAAGTCATGAATCGCCCACAAGACTCAGGCACACCCCCAATATTAATAAGGGCTCAACATTGCTATGGGGTCAACATGAAGCGAGCCATCTTGAAGCCACTCCGCCTTGGCAGGATTTGTTGACGGATCCCATTGGTGCCTCACCAGGCGAGCGAGACAGAGTAAAAGCAAGTGGATGTTAAGATTGTGACTGGCGAGACAAACTCAGAGGCTGATTGTATAAGTCCACATTATATGAACCCATGGCCATGTTGGACCGTTTTGGGGCTGATTTCCACAATTAAGCCAAAAACGTTAAATTAACCCACAAACTAAGGGTTCATACCAGGGGTTCATACCAGGGGTTCATACCAGGGGTTCATAAATATGGATGTATACATTCAGTCCTTGTTTCTGCCAGTCGATCTGTTGCTTGAGACCTTGCGAGTCGCTACGGCAGGCACGACCGTGTTGCCCGCCTTGCAGCATGCACTTGGCTTCGATGACGAGGCTCGTCTCGACCGCGATGTGTGGCAAACGGGACCATGTCTATAGGACTTTGAGTTGATCTAAGCATGGAGCAACGCGAGAAGCGCCAAGGGGTTTTCAGGCCGGAACGGCCGGTCCTTTTTGCAAAGGTCTGCTATCGGATTTCACTGTAAAAACAAAAAAGCATGCAACACATCCAACGCAACACTCGCTTAGTCATTTCTCCCCCTGTACCTGAACCCTTCCTCCGCACGAAAATGAGGGACTGTCAAGTTTCTCCACAATGTGTTTGCCTCTCGGCATTTTTCATGCTTGTTGGGAATAAGATGTGTAACGTCGGTCGCCCTTGTTTGGAGTTGTATGCTGGCATAATTTATCGCACGGGCAAGCAAGCAAGCAAAGCAAGCACATAAGAATGGGATTGTGTGGGAGTGTGCGCCATCCAGGAGGTTGGGCAGCTTTCGCATTCATCGACCTTAGTGAGCTGCATGGACACCCACAATCTCTTAAGAGATGACCATGCTTCAACGGCGCTTTTGTTTTGGCCCTCACACAATCTCTTCTTATCCCCGGCTTGGGACATGGATTCCATTGCAATGAGCAGCATCAGAAGAGAAACGATCAGTGCTGCAGTTCTTCCTATCAGCTCAGCTCGATTTCTCAGGACTCTCAATGTATTCCTCCTCTCCACCCTCCCTTCCACCGGTCTCACCCCCGAGACCCGAAGCTCGGGAACTCGGAACTCGGGTCTCGGGGCTGGGCAGGCGTGGCTGGTGCTGCTGCGGGAGCTGGAAGAGAGCTCAAAGCAGGCAAGCGGCAGCGAGCTGGGGGTCTGGGAACCGGGGAGGCGGTTGAGGAACTGGGGAGATGCCTTGAGCTGGGTAGGCTGGAAGGGCTGTGTCGCTCTTCCTGGATGCCAGGATTCTTGAATGAATGTGCAGAAGTAAGCGCACATGGATGGGAGCAGCTAGCGAACCAGAGGCCAGCACTACCATGTGTCAAGGGCCTTTGAAGAACTACGTGGGCCCATCTAAGCCACTGCGAGCGACAGCGACCCATCTAAACGTCTCTCGAAAACTGCAAACCTGCACACACATGCATCATCATGGCTCATGACATAAACGGTAGGGGCCGACCCAGCAGGCCCGTTGCAGGAGAGTTTACGGAAAGTGTGGTCCGGCACTCATGCGCACTCCACTTCGGTCCATCTGTTTTGTTTGCAGATTGTATCGGTGGCCATAACAAGTTTGCTCCGTTGGCCCATTCGCTTGCAAGCCGCGGCGCAGTTCTATTTGTGAACGTCACCAGTTTCAATCATGTGCAGCTACTGAATCACAATCACATGAAAGGCTTCAAAACAATCTTAGCATTCACTTGATCTTTTATTATTACTGTAATTCTAGAACTTTTGCTGTATACCATCAGCAGTAGTTTTCTCCAAGTGCAAAATGCCGAAGCAGAATGACCTTGTCCTCGTTTCGGCTGTGAGCTGCAGTGCCGCGATGCTTTAAATCAGCTTGTGAATGTTCAAGCAGCTGGATCAGGGGTAAGAAGAGTCTTAGATCTCAACCAGAGACACTCCTCCCCTAAAGGTTCCTGTGTGCAGGGATAGAAATGCTGCAGCCGAGTGAGGTTAGGAGTTAGGAGCGTGTCTTAGATCTCAACACCTTCAGCACGTTTGGACGACAGGCGAAGCTTCCAACATCCCTGCGCGAGAGGGTGAAATGCATGTCCGGGTTGGGGCCTTACTGAGACGGCCGCAGAGCGCTAGACAGCTTTCACCTGCTATTTGCTTGAGTGCAGCAACATACCGTCAAAGGCAAACAAATGAGAGGGGGGTTGCTTTGTTTTACTGAGCCATACGGCGAGAAGTTTTTCCTACAACATTCCAACGGTTTGGGCAGGCTAAAGCCGGGTTTCGCATTGCGAGGCATCAGTGAAGCCATTGTGAAAAATGTAGACTGTAAAGTTGTTGATGATCTGAAGGATAGACACACAACAGTTCACAGTCAAAGCACAGTTTCGCAGAACTCCAAAGAGGAGCAGCTGCGCAGCTGAGTTCTTCGCTAGGCCTTTGGGGCTGCGAGTCGTGCTTTTGCTTAGCGCTTGGCGTCCAAGCGGCCGGCTTCCGGCAAAGCAATGGGTTCACGGGCATGTATCAATGTATGTACTTGCTTGGGGTTTGCCCAAGTCTGAGCTGCTGGTTGTTATGAAGGGCCGAACATGACAAAAGTGGCCCACAAAGAAGGCATGCCAGATTGCCAGTCTCAAATTTGAGCGGCGGTTTGTTTTGGCCGCAAGCTAATTTAGTGGGGAGAGGGACAGTATTGTTGAAAATGTGCATCGCGCTACACGCGCGGAAGCATACGGAAGGCTTCGTGGAAGGGATTTGTTCGCGGAAGGTTTGCGGAAGCTTTGCGGCTGACATGTTTTTTGTTTGTTTCATATTTCAGTGCGTGCATAGAAATGCCCAGAGAAACGATTACAGTAGAAGAAAAAGGTGTCGCTGCGTAAAAGAAACACAACGCTTACTCGAAGAGCAGTTGCCAACAGCAAGCCAAGAAGACCAAAACAGCCGGCGTATTTTGCGGAAGGTTTGCGGAAGCTCCGCGGAAGGGTGGCCCCGTGTTTGAACCCAAGCCTACACCGGCTGTGGCGAAACACTACCTTACTTAAAGTGACTTTCCTTTTTGCGCCAATACTCGCGGAAGCAAATCTTGTAAACCATGCGCCGCGGAAGGCTTGCGGAAGCAAACAATAAAACACATGTGCCGCGGAAGTTCGCGCAAGCGAACTCTTGGCCCGCGGCAAGGATGCGGCGGAAGCTTGAATAATGTCCAAGCAAGTTTGTAGGGAACAAAAAGCAACTCTCAAATGGCCAGGCTGCATTTGATGCTTTACTCGTCCGACAGTCTTCCACTGCGAGACCAGATCTTCATGAATAATGAGGCCAGCTGGCAGAGCCAAAGATGCATATATATTTTTTGTGCGCGCTCAGAGGACCCGCTCTTGCCAGAGCTCATGCTGAACAGCAAGAGAAAGGACTTCAGCCGGGCCCCGAGCTATGATCGTTGGCCTGACGTCAAGTAAGCAGTTGCGCGCGGCGCAACTGGTGTAGTGGAAATTGGCCGTGTCAGTAGGATCTTTCTTTCGGATTGCACATGCTGAGATGATGTGAAAGAGCTGGAGTACGACTGGAAGGCGATTGTGGATGCCTGCTCCTTAGGTATCATCGAATAATCTTCTGGAATGACCACCATGCTTGTTCGCCTTTCTGTCCAGGATGTCAGGAACAATCGCCACGAGACAGGCATTCAGTACTTTGGTGATTTGTGCGCGAGAGAGAGAGAGAGAGAGAGAGGGAGAGAGAGAGAGAGAGAGAGCCACTGCTTGCAACGCAGCTGTTGCAAATCACCAGAAAAGTGTTGCAAGGCGAGACTTCTCGCATTGATGCGATGAAGGCTCTAATGCCCATCGACCATCCCTTGCAGGCTGTCTGTTCGAAGTGGGCGCAGAGGGTTTCTTGGCACGTTGATGCAACAGCCTTTAGATGCTTCAGTCTGAACAAGTGCCTACGTTTGCACTGCGGGAGACAGGGGTGCCGCACATTGTGTTGGGTTTACAAGTTGTTACAGACCAAGATGGTCATTGGAGAAGCCCCGTGCGGAACGTTGACCCTGTTTGCTTGTTTCATCTCAATCAGTATCCGACAAGACTGGTCCCATCATTTTGCCATGATCAAAGTCACGCCCCATGTGGTAGGTTAAAGGGAAACAAACCTGCGTTTCTGACTTTGACAACCTGCAGAAACAGTCAAAATACTGGCCCCAGCAAGATTATTGGTGGGCGACAAAGCAGTATTCGGGGCGCCTGGGGGTTGGCGAAGCAATTTGATACCCCCGGTTTGACCTCGAAGCGCTGGAAAACCGATAGGGACCACCCAACTTCCTTTCGTCATGAATTTTGGCAAAACGATTTCGTTTACTCAGATCTTATTGCATGCTCAACCGTATTAGACATATATTGTTGGTAGTCATTGACTCCTGGTAAGCCACTTTCCATTTGATATTCTGCTTTATCAAGCCTGTCCCGTGATACTCCAGCTACTGAGAAGGACGCCTCTTGAGATCGCAGGTCGACCGCATGCAGCTGGCCAATTTCATCCTGGAGGAGTGCAGTCAGAGGACAACGCTCGATACGATTTTTTGGTTTTTCCATAGGGGGCCCGTTTTCGGAGGCCACTGGAAGGTACCTTTCTCAGAACTACCAAGCAAGATAAATGGCTCCAAATAGGGAACCACCTCACAAGTTGGTGGCCACCGAAATGATGCTCACCCAAGGGTTTCCAAATAGATTTCACGCCCAAATGAAGGAGGTCACATTTCAGTGCTGGCTTCTCGCGCAGGTCAAGGATGAGATTGTCGCCTCAGGGCCCATGACGAGATGCTTGGCGTAGGGCTCAGTGTGGCAAGCTGGGGCACCCGCGTCCAATTTGAAGGATTGAGCAGTGGAGGGGGGGGTAGGATGATGTACAGGGAGCGGTGTCATCATGTTTTTTCAATGTCCAAACATATTGTGGGAACAAGAATAGGTGTCACTCAGGCGGCTTGGGCCCGTAGCTTGCTCGCCAGGAGATTCGCAACTTCTGTTCACCGAACAGCTCCGACACCACCGAACTCACCCCTCTAAGCCATGGTAGCGGCTTGCCGCCACACAAGTCGCAAGCACCACTTTCTGAGGAGTGGGACCAGCCCTTTCTGCTTGCCCACGCGTTTGCAGCACCGGCCTTTCAGATGCTGTCAGGTGTAAGTACGAACCTTCAGGCATAGGTGTCCTTTTTGGTTGATTTGGTTGAAAAATAGAGGGCCCTGGTTTACCTGGTGGTTCAATCAATTACCAGGGCCATCTATTTTCTCAAAAAGGACACCTATGCCTTCATGTCCATGTTGTAAGAACCACAAGTTAGTGGGCGTTGCACGCAGCTCATTTTCGGAGGTGCTGTTTGATTTTGAGTGAATCGAGTAGCACAGCGATGAGATGTCATGATGCAATTGCATGCAAGTGACACTGCAACATTGACCAATTCAAGCGAGGCCCACTGCCGCTGGATGGATGTGTACTCCTACTCAGAGCCAGCTGCTAAGCGTTTGTCTCATGCATCCCAGCAACTCACTTTTGGATTGGCCTGTGAATTGGCCGTGGGTCAACACCAATCGTACCATTTTGGGATAGCATTTTGGTCTATTTTAGTTGGGATGTTCACTGGGGGTACGATTTGGATTTTGACCCATGGCCATATGGGGGTGTGATCTTTTTAGGGGACCTTTTCCCCCCCAATTGGGTTGGATTTTGACCCATGGCCAAGTGATGTTCAGTTTTCACCACGTTTCATGACTTGAACTCGGTGACTCGCAAAACCGATCCGTCCCATCGCCGCGAGGCCGCACCCCAGCGAGCCGAGATTGGGACTGCAGAATCCTCAGGTCTCGACTGCTCGAGAGGGACACCTGTGTGCGCTTTTATGAGAATATGTTGTGAGGCACGTGATTGTAGTTGTGGGTTTTGGAGGGTACTTTTATGGGTTCTGGAAAACCAGAAGAAAAGACCGAGAACAGTTTTAGACCCCACCATTTGACAGCAGACCCAAGACACAATGCCTTCTGCATGAAACTTCTGGCTTCAATTGGCCATCGCATCATGATAGTCTGTTCTGCGTTTTAGACTTTGGATTGAGGTTGGATTTTTGGCATAGCTGATCTTTGATTCTTTTGCCAGGGAAACACAGTAACGTAACCGTTCCGTTGATTTCAATCATTGCTACACGATCCTTCCCACAAATGCCGGGTTCACTGATTGAAGAAACACACGCCGAAGCCTCAACAGCAAGGCGCCTGGTTTTGGTTGTGCCTCCCATTGGGTCCATCATGCTTCCGCATGATGGACTCTCCTGCAGGCCGGGTCGGCAAGAATTCCCTTCGGGCACCATCCACTACTGGGGAGACATGGAGGTCCCGGAAAACTTTGGTGCTGCCGGCTGCTTGACAGATGTTCAATTTCAGAGCACTCGGAGAAGGTTGCGCCGCCAGGAAGAGCAGAACACATGCACAAGTGAGCAACGGCAAGTCCAAAGATCATATCCAGTCCAGACAGTGAAATTAGTATGATTCAAGCACTCCTAGCATATGTTTTCTCAGGCCCTCTGTTTCAGACATGAATGGCAGGAGTGGATCCTGGCACCATGGACCTTATTCTTTGCCCTTTCGTCTTTGAGCATGTTTCCCGCCCATGGGTGGCGATGAGGCGCGGTTCGGAACCGTGACACGTATATCAATGCGCTGCCGGCCGCTGTTTGTGTTGACCCTCAGAGTGTTGGTTTGCGTTGTGGCTGAGTTGGCTTGGTCGGAATCAGCCGTTTTTTGTTGTTTTTCCTCGTTTTTTTTGCCCCCCGAACTCTTCGAAAAAGCGTCCTGGTTCGACATTTTGTGAGACACGTACAGCTGGGATTCGGCAACGAGGACGCTGGCGGACAGCCTGCGGCCTGGTGGCTTCATCCTTTGGGCGGCCCCCCGGCCCCGAAGTTGGCTCGCTCGAGTGGCCGGGAGCCGGGCGATCGATCCATCACCGAGGCTCCGATGTTTCAGCGTTATCACGGGCCTTCACCTCAGCGTCGAAAGCTGTCGACTTTGGACACTTTGGGCGAGCAGCATGGATCGGGAGTGCAAAGATGTGGAGTGTGTGGAAAGCCTATGGCTTGTGCTCGAGGTCTCCGCATGACTACTACCGCTACACCCCGAATGGGGCAAAAGCCTTGGCAACCCATGCGGGCCTGGAGGCTGAAGCCACGTCCGGGAGGAGGTAAGTGACAGGTGTCAATGTCATGATGATGATGATGATGATGATGGTGGTGGTGGTGATGATGATGATGATGTTTTTGATGTGGAGCATGCAAAGGGATCTTGGGTCAAGCGATGTGTATGAGATTGAATACCAACATGTGGGAGTTGGTCAAAAGGTCCTTGTAAGGCGGTTGTGCCCGTGAAAGATCCGCAAGAGTTTTTCGCAGGGGAGAAAAACACACACACACACAAAAAAAAAAACGCTTCTTGGGAGGGCATGCGTGCATGCTTATTTGCAGACCCCGCTCCCTTGTAGACAGGGAGGTGCGCAGCACCTTGTATTACTTGTCCTGAAAATTCCCTGCCTGCGCTGGGCCCAAAACGTTGGCGGGCCTATTTTGGAGCAAGTTTAACGAAAGATCCGCGGAAGACCCAAGAAAGCCCATAGAGTTTGTAGGAAGGTTCCTTGCATTTTGCGCAAGATGGAGCAGCCGCAGCAAGCGAAAGTAAGGGCGAGTGATGGCGTTTGCCTTTATTCCCGTTGCGGCAAGGCTGCCGGCGCAAGCGAGCAGCATGGCTACTGGGTTTGTAAGCGCAACTGCAGCAGCAGCAGTGCCCCCAGACCGCACGCCGCCAAAACCAATGCAGACTAGCACAAGACGTTTTTCCCTTGCGAGGAATGGCGAAGTTTGATCAACCGCCATGTGAACAGGTTGCAAAAATCCCGCGAACGGCTGGAACAACGCCGCTAGCTTATTTCCAGGCCCTTTTGCCTCGTTGCGCTGTCCGGTTCTGGGACCGCGTTGGAAAGGCGACTAGATGCTGGCGCCGTCTGCCGGCTCAATAGTCCAGCATGCCTGAGGAACAGAACGGCCCTTGTTGTGAATGCGTGTGTGTGTGTGTGTTTACCCTGGCAAGTGTTGGTAGACCAATTGTGCCTTGCGCGTTCCTCTCTTTGCTTCATGCTGGAGAGTTTGAAGGCTGCGTTGCTTTTGGGTTTGACATGCTCGGATGTTCAAAAACCAATCTGATGAACATCTTCCTCAAAAGGTCACAATGCGTGAGCAGGGTCGGTAAGAGCTTCTGGTCATAAAAGTCAGAAGCGGAAGAGATCCTTTCGAGTGATTGCCTCATATCGATTTGCATTGTTCATGATCGCACAGAACATGTCATGTTGGCAGGAAACTTTTGTTTTTTTCATGTTTACCTACACTTTTTTTTTGTTCCCCAGTTCTTTGCCCATGCTGGGCATGGCAACGTTTGGTTTTGATCTCGATGGACTGGGCCAGGTGGTGAGGCTCTACTCCCCCGGCGATCTGTCTTTGGTTTCTGGGGCACCAGCCTTAGCGCCAAGAGTGGGCCTTTCTCGCCGGGCGGAAAACGCCACCGGGCTTTTTTCAATGGCTGATTGTAGAGGCCCATATTATGAACCCATGGCCATTTGGCACCCTTTGGGTTCATGGACATCATTCAGCCTTTGATGGTAGAAACAGTTTGGAGTCCGATTTATTATCTTGGGATCCGCTTGTTTAACTTTTCACTCGGGGCAGCGATTGCTGGCAGCTTAGAAAATCGATCCTAGTTGTTCGAAGGTTTTTCAGCGGGCGTTGAGGCAAGTTGGAACGCCCGGGTGAGTGTGTCTTGAAAATAAGTGTTTCTACGCAAACTGCGGCGCAGACAGCACTTTCATCCACCTGGCAACTACCTGGCATCCCTTCTTCACATGTCCATGTTTGTTTACTTGATAGCGCAGAGGGAGCCACGGCGAGAAATTGGGACATCCTGGGGTCTACTTTTTTTTCATGCGACAAGTTTTGAGGCTTCACTGACTTATTTTGCCTAGGTGCTGATGGGTATGCTCCTGCCGTACTGGTCCGTGGATCAAGTGCTGCACGAGAGCGATCCGGTGGAGAGGGACGATGCTCCGAGGCACTTGAACCATGTAGGGAGTCAAAGGCTCAATCAAGGCTCTTTGACAAGCTGGGGCTGTCATGACTGCCTGATGGGGGTTGGAGGGTCAGAGCTGCCAAAGTCTATGGCAGGCATCCACTGAATGTGTTTGCCTTGCTGAGAAAGTCGGACACTGAGTTGCTGAGTTGAGGCCAGCATGTTGTGAGCGGAGCTGAGTGTATGAGGAATGTGAGGTGCCAACATTTCGAATGCATTGGGCTTTATGTGAGGCCGGGAAGCAGACCAGTGAGCCATTAGGAGTTGTGCGGCGATAGGGATGCAAAATGCCCGCAGCTGGGAGAGAGAGAGTGAGAGAGCGCAAAAACTGAGTGAGAGAGAGAGGGGGGTGGCAGAGGGAGAGGTAGTCAACTGTTCAGCTGCAAAAAGTGAAGCTGGCGCCAAGTCTACAAGATAAGCAGGCGCCAAGTTGGGCGCGACATCAGCTTAGCAGGATCGGTTCTGAAGTATTTGGGCCAGAACCTTTTGATTTGCAAGCTTCCGGCCATTGAAGTTAAGCTTGTGTTTGGCAACATCGAAGCACTTGGAAGGGTGGCGGTTCGAGAGAGATCGGCTCTCGGAGTGTTTCAAAGACGCAGGTGCCCTCCAAAGTATTTTTCCTTATTAAATTCTATTTAAATTCTATTTAAAGTCCAATGGAAATTTGTTTTCCAAACAAATTATTATTATGTTTTCTCCCATTGCGCAAGAGGCCGAGCCCAGCAAAGGGAATTACTACACTGGTACTGACAAGTCACGATGTTCGAGCTGGAGCTAGGTGTGCTTGGCCGAAGTAAGTTTGATTGCCAGGCAAGAGCCAACTCCATGTCTGCAACACAGATCCCAGCAAAAGGGCAGTGAAAATGATAAAGCTCCGCGAAAGGAAATAACACGCGGGAGAGAATCGCGAAAGCTTGGCAAACACGCGCCAGCCTCGCAACCCTTTAGTGAGCACCGCTTGTGTGGATGCATTCACACGGTAGTTTGCATCATGTGCAGGTCCTTGAAGAGAAGGACTTCCTGTTCAGGACAGGTTGAAGGTGTTGGTCATATGTTGAGTGTTTGCCTGCGTTGGTTGCCAAGCGATTGGGGTTTGCCGAGATGGTGCGCCCCAGCGGCTAAGATTGCATTGGCCTTCATCGATTCATTCCAGTAGCCTCCGTAGCCCCATTGACATTGGCTTTTTTGGGGCCGAAGTGCGCGGCTCAATCCACGACATTCGGCAGGTGAGAAAAGGGAGGCTTCCTTATCCATCGGATTTTGACGGGTTTATGTAGTCTTGTTAGATTTTGAATATTTAGATTCCGGTCAAGGATTTGATCCGAAATCCGGAGATTGAAGAATGCAGCTTCCCTCATGGTTGACTTTGAGGTGTTGCATTTTTCTAAACGAGGCCAATTCCCCACAAATCTTGGATCTTGGATCCAGGAGCTAGATACCCGCAAAAAACAAAATCTACATCTCGATATTTAGATTTCAGCGGGGGCATTTGTGGATCCAACTTTCCCCCAAAGTCCCCCGCAAATTTTGGATCTTGGATAGTGGATTCCCTCTTACTATGGTGGGATGGGCCGGCTTAGGAGGGCTAAAGCTTGACATGCAGTTGTGTGCCTTGAGCCTTAAATAAAACGCGGGTATTTAGATTTCAGGGGGGGGTCTTCATGAATCCAATGTTTCCCCAAACAATCTCCCACAAATCTTGGATATGTTGATCTTGGATCCAGGGTCTAAGTCATGGTTAGTTTTGATTAGTAGCCCCCGCTCCCCTCCCTTCAATAAGGTTTGGAAAAGTCCCCCAAAAAACGGTACCCTGGTTCATTTGGAGCCCTTTCGGTCGTCCTCTTACTTTTGGCCCCTGGGCAATAGGACGTTAAAAGGCAACATCAGTTTTTGTTTGCCAATTTTGAGCCCAAAAGGCCCTGATGAATCGCGGGGGGGGGTTCTGTTAATGAGGCTGGGCTGGCCTCCCAAGCATTTTCCCGTGTGCAGGTCAGTTTACACAACAAATGATACAGACAAATGCATTTGGGGGAAGCACATTTTTGGGGACAACTTGAGGGGTTCAATAGTGACTTAGTATTGGTGAGATTGAAGGACAGACTAAGCAAATACTTAGCAACAAAAGGAAAGCCCCTTTTCTGGCAGGTTTTTTTGGCTTCGGGGCTGCAGGTGTTTGAGGAGACACGAAAACGTATTGGGTAGGGTTTTTGGGGCAAACTTCGTTGGCCCTTTACTTTCGTGTTGGTGGGAAAATGGGAGGGAAGAGGGGAAACCTGTAGGGTACGAATCGCGCGCTGACATTGCGGGTGTTTAGAAATCTGAATACCAGTATATATTTGGACTTAGATTATCACGCATGGATCCAAGATGGCTCCCAAGTCCCCCATGAATCTTGAATCTTGGATCCAGGGCGTATTTAGACAGCTTCATTTAGAGACATGGCCTCTTGGGTACCCGAGTCTTTTCGGATTTTCCATGGATTTCCCTTTGGTTGCTGAGCTGAAAAGGGCACCTTCAGTTCCCAGCGAGCCGTCAGGAACTTGTTCCGCACGAAGCAGAGCTTCCGGCCGCAGCTTCGGGAGCTGGTGGCCAAGTGGGGGGACTTTTTGGAGGGCATCCTGCCGGGACGCCCGGTTTGGGGGGGGGGGGCTTTGGGCGGGGGAAACCTGGGGTGTTTGATGTCGGAACCCTGGTTTAGGGTCGCCGAAACCAAGGGCTGGCTTAGGGATTAGCCTTAGGCTTGGTGGTGATTTTCCTATTTGGGCGGGTGAGACTGGTAAAACTGGGACACACATACAGAGACGTATTTGTTGCCGTGATATGATAGCTTAATGGGATGGCAGCTTGGTTTCAGAACGTGTTTGGTTGCTTTTACTAAGGTGCATTTGTGTCGTTTGCTTCGAGCTCCTTTGTTAGCTTTTGAGCTTTGGCTTTTTTCACAGCGTTTCGTGGCTTTTGGCGGCTTGGCGGGCTGTTGGTTGTTTGGCTTTGGCGCTGACGACCTTTGACGGCTTTTGGTGGCTTCAGCGGCTCTTGTGGCTTGTGTGTGGCTCAGTGACTTTTGGCAAGCCTAGCTTCATTCCAGACCCACTTGACACCCACCCCAGCCGAAAGCCCACCCGAAACCCAGGTTTAATCCCAGCTTAAACCCACCTCAAACCAACCCCGAACAAAATGGACGGGGATGTCTTCTTCCAGCCAAAGCTTGTGTTTTTGAAGCTTGACCACTGCCATCATACAACGCCTCTTGCTTACCCACTAAGCATCAAGATGTTTGACTGAAGCTTTGGTTGGAGCCGGAAAGCTTTTTGAAAGACGTGGGAGGCCCAGGATGTCTACCATCTTCCAGATGAGCGTGCTCAGGCGCGAGTGTATCTCCAAGCGAGTTCAAGGAACAGCCTTGCCTCAGGCACAAAGCAACTGGAAAGACTCTGGTGGTGGTCAACACGCGCGGCACCCGTTTAGAGATACATGACGCATTGGCAAAAGATGAGCTCTCGAGGCACCTGTTCTATCATCCGAATGCGAGGCCCGGTCAGCATGCTCGCGCGATTGAGCCACGTCGATCAAATCCCGTTGCCCAGCGATTGCAAGCCTTGAAGACAGTCGGAAGACTCAAATGGCCATGGGTCAAAAGCCCGTACCCCCAGTGAACATCCCAATCCCCACTAAAATAGACTAGTTTTGGGTGGTGCACCTACCCCAAAATGGTACCATTGGTTTTGACCCACAGCCAAATAGACGTGTTACTCTGACAGCAGAGCAGAAGTGCTATGATGTTCCGGACGCGTAGAAGTGTGCTGCCAGTGGCCAGGCATATTCGACTCCTGCAGATCATGTGCATATTGGGACAGGCGCCGCTCTGTGAGAGACGAGTCAGTTTGTGGCCCCGATTGACTTGAGGGGGCAGCCCTCCGAGATTCTTTTTTGGGGCTTGAGGGGTGACATCAATGTACCTTGTAACGAATAGTCCGCTTGATGTGTGAGTGTGTGTTGCAATGTATTGCAACATGAAATTTCATTGCGCCTTCTTGCAACCGCGGCCTGACACGTCTCATGTCGTGGGTCTACGTGTGGCTAGGTGCAGGAGCTACGGGAGAAGCACAGAAGTGAGGGAGGCAAGGTCACTTTTTGAGTCATGTCGAGGTGCATGTCTAACTCAGTTTGCCATAACCATATTTGCAAAGCGCATATTTTGACCGTGGCTCATTTCAATATCTAAATGGATCCTACTCTAATTGGCATTGAGAGTAGTCATTTTGAGGCAAGCCCAGCTTTGCGCAGTTGCTGGCTGTTTCTCCAGGTGCACTCCCGCACGTGATTCTGGCCGGCGACCTGAACTGTTTGCCAGACACTGGCGCAGTGCCAACCTTAGCACTGGCGCGCAACGGCAAGACAGGGCGTGTTGTGGCAGAGGTGCAACTGCTGCTGCAGGGCGAGGCCGGCGGGTGAGTGGCAAACGGGTGAGTGGCAAACGAATGGTGACTGTCCAGCTGGTTACCGGTCTGCAAGGTATCGATAGCTTGAAGGTACATACAAGTATGTTCACTCGCATGCTTAGTGCCAAGAGCAAAACAGTTCTCAACCAACCCATTGGGGAAAACAACAAAAAACATGCCTGTGAAGGTGCTTTTTTAGCAAGCAAAATGGAAGAACTCCTTACCGTTTTTTTGCCCCGAGCCCAAAGCTTCAGCTTCAGCGCCGGAAGGTCCCCAGCGACCACGCGGACTGGGAGAGCTCCTCGCAGGCTCGTTGAGTCGTAGGGTAGTTGACCTGCGACTGAAACGGCTGTGGCTCAAAAATAGAAATGGTAATCCCACAATGGAACCTGTGTGGAAATCCCAGCAAAATAGGGTAATGGCTGTGTGGTAAAGCTGTGGCTCAAAAAAAAAGAAACGGACACCTCACAATGGGTTGCCCTGGTAAATGCAAACTTGGACTACAACCTGCGGTTTGCCCCTCCGATCGTTTAATTTTGAGCCACACCCAAATGGGAAGCAAGCAAAAGTTACAGCCACGTGCTCATATGCCGCGGTCCGGGGATTGAAGATTAATTAGTAAGGCAAAGAATCCCACCCGATTCGTGGCAGCCGCCGAGTATTTACTTCCTTACATGGTTCTGGGATTACGAACGTGTTAACACCTAGGTCTTGATTATGACTCAATTGCTCTGAGACAATTCTGATGAACTTGTGCTGTGCTCAGTTCGCCTGGCGTGAAGAAGAAGTTCAGGCGGATGAGGAGAGCATCGGCGGGAGGGCTGCTGGATGGTTTGGTTTCTAGTCTGAGCAATGTGCATTTGATGCTCTGCAATGTGCCTGCCATTGTTGTTGGTTACACGTTGTCATGTGGGACCAGGAGGATTGTCCTCCAAAGAGCACTTCTGTACCCTCCATGGAGGCGCAGTAACGATGAGATCAGCGGTTGGTTACGGAACCGTTGGGCCCGAGTGTGTGTGTGTGTGTTGTGTGTGTGTGTTGTGTGTGTGTGTGTGTTGTGTGTGTGTGTTGTGTGTGTGTGTGTGTGTTGTGTGTGTGTGTGTTGTGTTGTGTCGTGTTGTGTTGTGTTGTGTTGTGTTGTGTTGTGTTGTGTTGTGTGGTGTTGTGTTGTGTTGTGTTGTGTGTTGTGTTGTGTTGTGTTGTGTTGTGTTGTGTGTTGTGTTGTGTTGTGTTGTGTTGTGTTGTGTTGTGTGTGTTTGGTCGGCACATGACCGACATGCACACAAGCATTGGATTTGCCGAGCACAGAGTGCATCACTGAATCCGCCCCCTTGAAGCTCTAAGTGCATCAAGTGTGAAGCATCGCGCATCGCAGGCTGATGACACCGACGTTGTGGACCCACTACCGCAGGATCAGTGGCAGCCAGGTGCAGCGAAGTAGTCATGGGCCCTGGGGGGTGAGCGTACTGCCCCACTTGGATTCGTTGCTGGAACTTTGAAACAAGCTGAACTGTCGCTGTCAATTCAACAGGTAAAGCTTGTCGTGCTTCAATTCAAGCAGGGCCAAAAAGGTGGGCAAGAGTTGCAAATGCCGAACAGAGTTATGCATGCAAGCGAGTCGCGGGTGAGCATCAAATCTCATCAAGTTCTGTGCTGGCAGGACCAGTCAAGGGATTGTTCGAGCAAGAAAGAGCCCGCGATGTCCCAGCAGAGTTGTCCAAGTTTCAAACGCCACGCGGCCAAATCACACATTGTGGCCGGATGGCCGGATCCAACAAGCCAAGCACCATCTACACAAAGATAGATCTTGGATATTGCCCAGAGCTGTCAGGCACCTGCAGTGGCAAAACGTTGGGTGTGGCTCAGAACCAAACAGCAGAGCTGAGCGCCGTGTTGTTTTCTCGGACCATTTTTCCGCCGCTTCGCCAGCGCTGGCCATTTCCTGGTGCTGAACGCCGCAGGCCGCGGCATAGCTCTTCGCAGCCCCCTGCGACTGGTGGACGTGTGCGCCTCCAAACCCCGAGGATGGCGAGCCGTTCCAAGGAGTTCCAAGGTTTAGCGGCGCCAGGTACTCGGAGAAGCCGCAGGGTTTCACCAACTACGTCCACGACTTCCAGGGGATCCTGGACAGAGCCAACAATGTTGAGCCAGTTTTAGAGTTGTTCACCAATCGTGAGTTGGTGATCACACACACATCGCAGATATTGAATGATTGAAGCATACATGCATCGAACGCATGTATGTGCACCAGACCGCATCTGTTTGGTCATCATCCCCCGTTTAGGTTGGGGTCATGTCGAGGTGCGTCCTGTTTGTGTGGCAGGACTATATTTGGACAGATGAGGGGATGCAGTCCACAAACTGCTTGTGGGCTCCTCAGCCTTGTTTCGCGCACGATCTTGGTACGATAGATGGCTTGATGCTTGGAGGTTGGCACCCTCAGAGGAGGACAAGAGAGATTTGATCGCGTTGCCTTCGGCTTGCGTCAGCTCTATTGCCAGCTGATGGACGGCCAAACCAGCCCAATCCAAACAGCGAAGGGTTGACTCAGAGCTGTTGGATGTGTCCAACTCGGAGCCCCCAAACCTGTTCCCTTTCGGCCTCCCAAGCTGAGTACCGCCCATCTGAGCTATTTTGTGGGTGACCAGATCCTGCCATGTGCAGGATTTGCTGCCGCACGGAGGTCTCCCGAGCGTCGCGGGCTTGGATTTGTTTCACGTGTCCTTGGGTTTGAAGCGTTCAAGCGTTGCCTGGCAACATTTGGCAACGCTCGAAACCCAAGTGAAGCTAAACCGGCGAAGCTCCACTCTTCAATCGTAATTATGAGCCGCGATCAGTACCCTAGGGGCCGAGTCCTGAAAAGTGCAAAAGTGCCCGGGTTCAGGAATCGGCCCCTAGGATACTGATCGTGACTCAGAACTCATAATTGAAGTTTGGAACTTCACCGGTGATTTGCCGTGCTTGGTTGGGTTCTTGTGTTTGAATGCATCCCGATCGAAGCTTCTTTGGTGCCTGAGTGGATCAGAGGTGTCCTGCTTGCTTGTGACCATGTATGTTTTTGGCTAGCTTGTGACCACGTTGGCTTGTCCCGTCCGGCATACCAGCTGGCTGAGGGTTGATCGGTCGTTTCTCAAGTGAGCATCTCCAAGCTCTCCTTTACATGTCAAGCAAGAGTTGTGTCATGGGGAGGCCGCGCGAAATCACAATCCTCAGCGCGGGCGTCCGCCTTTTTTAAAATGGACACATGCTGCATAAGCTCGCGCATAAGCTCCTGTTGCAGTGGCTTAGCCGCTTTTTTGATTCCGCTTGCCGCCAAAGGAGCCGTGATCTGCCCCGAGTTTAGCCAGGGAAGGGGTCGCAGGTGTGATGTTGAATCTCCGCTCCAAGACAAAACGGTTCCCCAGCCGCCATGTTGTTCTGGTTGTTTCTTTCGGCTTGCTTGGCTTTGGTTGGTTTTTAGCCACCACTGACACAAACCGTGTTCCGTGCCTGGCTCAGCACCGTGTGAGAGGCGCTGTTTCTTCGACAGACTCATCCAGAGAGATTCTGTGCACAGCCGATTCTGCAAAACCCAGCAGGTCAAGGGTGCGTACGGACGCATAAGCAGGCGAGGTTTGAGTAAGCTCGCCTAGCACAGCTGCCCGCTCGCCCGCGCCATGGATGCCACAAGAGCCCTTCCTTAATCTGCAGTGGAGGCAGAAAGAACTCCGGATCAGAAGTGGTCGTCCAAATCAAAAGCGCTGCAAGGGTTACAAAGCGAAGACCCCGAAAGGAACCACCGCGCCAAGTTGACCAGCCTGAGCGTAGTCCTCCATCCAGTTCCTCCTCAGAGTCATCCACGTCCTTGGCCAGCTTTGGCGGCTGCATGGAACAACAAGACCGCGCAAGCAATCTTGTACAGAAGCACTCAAAACTCGTGCATAAAAGGAAGCGTCTCATCATAAGCAACACGCTCGCGTGTAACCAACCTTCCACGACAAAGCTACTCATGGCGTGTTTTCAGAGCTCATTTGGAGTGTTGATCGGTTTGCTTGAATTTGGTGTTATCCCTTCCTTGGTATTGCCGGATTTTGGGCCCAGGACCTCAAGTAACCCAGTTGGTATCCCAGCATGTGCGAGTGAAACAAAGCCTATATGCTAACTCTGACCCTCACCTGAAGCACTGAATCAGTAGAACGCACCATCAAAAAGCGCTGATTAAGCCTTTAGTACTCCTCTACTGCAAGGCGTCAATTCGCAGTTGTACTTGATAATTTGAATGGGCAGCCCTTGAACATGGTTGGTGGATAAACCCCCACAATGTGATTCGGAGCCCAGTACATTCTTGCCGCTTTTAAAGTTTACATTTCGACCCGATCCCTTAGAATTCAAAGCCATGCTAAGGAGCTTCATCCAAGTGATCATCTCTCTATTGCCGCAGATCTGGTTTTCAGGACGCTAAGCTTTTTGGCTTGCCATGTAGAGTTGCCTTGAGTGCCCCTGAGGACGTGAAATCTCTTTCAAGATACGCTTTGTGCTTGCTTCGGACCAAAAGCAATCAATCCTGCCGCGCTTCACTTCGCTTGATACGGCAGCCAGCTTGCTATGACCATTTGTTATCTCTGACCACTGGTCAGTTGTGCGCGTGTCTTGAAACATTTGTCTCCACTTTGGTTGCTTTTCCACAGCCACAGAGTTGCTTGGCATGCAGCACACCTTTCATTTCAGGATTGCAAGGAGATATTTCCTCCGGGTCCACGACTCCCAGAGGAAATTGGGTTACAAGCAGTATGTGACCATTTCATATAGGTGATGCACGCAAGTTTCGGGGTATTGCCTGGGTGGCGGAAGCCGTATTAGACTATAAATGAATCATCACGGCGGGGGCCCAGTATGAACATTGCCGTTCGCTGATATCCGGGCTCAGCTTATCAGCGGATGTCCCATCGCTTTGTGATGAGGACGTATCTTGGACGCACTGTTCAGTTGGAGCGAGCACAGCGTGACGGGACGACATAGCAATGGCGTCGTGTCGCTTGGTGCATGCCAGTTCTGAGGTCTGAGTAGATGGCGCTGCCTCATGCACCAGTCCGTCAGGCCGTTGTACTTGGCTGTGGGTCAAAACCAATGGGATCCCATTTTGGAGTAGGTGAATTCACCACCCATTCTAGTCTATTTTAGTGGGGATTGAATCGCATGTTCACTGGGGGTACGGGCTTTTGACCCATGGACTTGAGCTTGCAAAGGGCCGCAGATCTTACTGAGGTGCTACCAGCTGGCGAGCCTCCGTATGCAATGCGTGACTTTGAGAGATCGGCTTTGTTGGAAGGGCCGCCAGGCGGCTTCCCCGGTCGCGCGCGATGAATTGATATTCCGATGATGGGCAGCTTCTTTGTTCATAGTGGGCTCCCTCAAAACACAAATGTACCTGGATATATTTGAGAAAAAAAATGAGGCCACATTTTACGAATGATTTTGGCAGCCATGAAACACGACCCACGTAGGGAGGCTTGGTAGGTGTCCTGTGAGTATGGCCACTGTTTTGAGCGTCCAACTGGTGCGTTTTCAGTTGTTCTTTGTACTTGCTGGACGAAACAATCATGGTGCCTTCAGCAAAACTTGATATTCTGATACTAGCATGAACAACCCATCAGCAAGAAATCAACCCCTTTCGGCTGTGCCTTGCCCAGAGTCACGCACTTCTCACTGCAATGTTTGATGAAAAGAGCATGTATTCATGTAAGTGTTGATCCGAGCCCTTGACAGATGTTCCTAGGAAATCGTGCAGCTTATTCAGATTATTCATGTCAGGAAGGCAGTGGTCAGGGTCATCAGTGCTGCAATCCGTTCAGGCTTGGACACCACATCCAGGGGAGCTCCCGAGTCCGGGATCTCTCAGGAGTGCAATGCTGAACAATGCTGAAAGCGCAAAAACCGAAGGGGCATGCGAGATGTTGGCTTTGAGCCCCCGACGTTGTCTCGGGTCGGATTTGAGCTGTGCCACACGTGATTTTCGTCCAGCGCAAGCACTGGGATTCGAGCACAGGACATGCTGACCTACATCAGCCAAAGAGTCAATCACATGCTGGCTACCGCGACAAGGTCCTCAGAGTTGCAGGCCCTCGGAACTCAAGCCCTCGGTGGGTGGACAGACACGCATCCATGTAAAAGATATGTCCCCCAAAGTGCGGTCATGACGTATGAGATATGCACCAATATGAGAAGCTCACCACTAGTCTCCAAGTGCAGATGGATGAGCCGCGGATTGCCATTTGGGGCCGATCAAGCAGTCAGGTGAGCCACAAAGCTCGGGTAGATGAAGGTTAGTGAGGGACGATCCCAGCCATGAATAGCAACGGATATCCGCCTTCTTAACGCCCTACATGGTTCTGGGATTAGGACCATTTTAGTAGCGATCGGTTTTGATTGCGACTCAGGTGCACACAGAACTCCGTCGTTTGGAATCGTCCTTTGCAGCCTTGGCAGATAAGGCCAGGGCTGGGTACTGGCCATTGGTTTTCAGAGGGCATCGCGGTGGGGCTTTGCTTTGCCATGTGGAGCTAGGGTTACGCGGGTTTTAGTCTTCGGTTCCATTTACCAAGGTGGCCATTTTAGTACCGGTTTTTTGAGCCACAGCCATGTGAATGAGGGACGGTAGGGCCGAACCCACAATGCCTAGGGTGGAGGCGGGAACTGAGAATGGATGAAAGCCCAATGTCTTGACGGATGTTGAAGTCACGTAACCAATTGCAGGCAAAACTTGCCGATTGTTGGGGGAAATCGCCTGAGGTACGTCGAGTGGAAACACTGCTGGGTAAGGACAAGGCCGGTGAGACAAGTTGTGGATACTTGTGTCGTTCTCAGAGTTTCAGCTTTGTAGGCTCGGCACAGTGAGCCGGTCTTGCAGGACGGATGCGAATTTAGAGTTTCCTCGAGTCTTCGAGTCCGCGCGTGTCTGACAGGACAACTTGGACAGACTTTTGGCCAACATCGAGCAGCGCAGAGAGCAGGACATATAGCTCTGAGAAGGTCGCCGTAGACTCGACCCCATCCCTCAGGAGATGCTGAGCCTCAAGGCCACGGCTTCTTTGGGCGCTTGCTTGCACCCAAGCCATGGCTAGGAGTTACATGCCAAGGTAATGGATCTGTAGGCAACGGATTGAGCCTTCAATTCAACGGTGGCTTGTAAGGAACCAGGTTGCCGGTGGAGTGAAGTCGCATCCAGCCAGAAAGTTTGCGTGTGTGTGTGGGTGGTTTGCCTATAATGTAATCACTGTTCTCTTGAATGTGCGGCATGGAGAGTCATACATTAGTGATGATATCGCATTTCACAACGAAACAGATAGTCCATGGCTGATTCGCGGATTTGATGTTTGTGCCTGTGCTTGAAATTTCCACTGCTCCATCAAAACAATGCTTCTTGCCGATGCCTCAAACAACAAGACATTGAGTTGTTTTTGTTTTTTCGTGTTTTCTGGATCAGAACGAGCTGTTTTTTTGTTTTTTGCATCTGGCCTCCATAAAATTATTGGCGTTGAAAGGGGAGCAGGCTGAAGGCTTCTTTCGATGTCCTAGGCGCGTTTTTTTGGGCCAGACATGTCGGTTGCCTCGCGCGAAATGATGCTTCGGCCCTCCAGCGCGAGCTCCACCAAATCATTATGGTGCACAATCACAACGCCGATCTCATGGCAGACCACAAGGCCAGGGTGAACTTATGGAATTGGCCCATTGAGAATTGCGGGCTGTGCGGACCGGGCCATCAAGATTATATAACCAATGAGTTGCACCAAGTCTATCCACCGCAGTATCAAACATGTTCACTGGCTGTCCTCACTTGAAGGAAGTGAAGCGGAAACACGTTTGGTTGTTCTGGGCAACCGTTGGAAATGCCTGACGCAGGTCACATTTGTTCGCCACAGGTTTCTATCGCCCCGGGCAACTTTTGCACTGCCTGACGTAGCCGCAGCATCATATTTTGTTCGCCACAGGTTGCTATCGACCAGATTAGCACAGTGATTGAGGCCGGCAGTGCTACCTTGATCTACCTTGATCGCGGGTGAACATTGAGAGAAATTGAGCTTGCCCCTACTCACAGGGCGATGCCACCGTTTACAGTGCATTGCATGATATGATGCGTGATGTTGACCGACGATTGCATCATTATCTAACAGAGAATGTTGAGTATGAGTACTTGCCACTTTTCTGGTTTTTGGTAGTCAGGGACATGGCGACACACACAGACCCTACCTAAATGCGCATTGGATTCCAGGAGGCAAATTTCTTCGTTTCTCGTGCTCGATTGGGAAACAATGAATTTTGATCATGCCTCCGGTTGCATCTCTGGCAGGAGCCCAAAGAGGCAGGACAGACACGCCGACCCCGAGCTGCTGGACTGGTTGGTTTGGTTGTCGCATCTCCGCATCTCCGCAGGGCAAGCCAACTGCAGCACAGCTGCGCGGCTCTCGGACACGATTTGGCCATGATGTGGGGGTTAATCAATATTCCGTTGAAGGCCCCAACATGACCATGGGTAGCTTTACCCATGTCGTGGTGAAAGTCATCGTTTTTGGTGGTGTATGTAAAGGAGCTTTTGATCAACCCCCCTGTGAGTGGTCAAGGAGTAGTTTGGTCCCAACACTTGGGGAGTTTGGCCATAGCACACAAGCCTGTGTTTGCAGCGCATTCCATGCAGACGGAAATCGGTATCTTCAGTGATTGGGTTGACGTTTCAAGGCAGTGGTTCCAGTGAGCCAGTCGCAGCTTTTTGGCTCAAGAGCTCATGTCAGAATGCTTTTTGGCAAGCCGTGATATGCTATCATGTTGATGTGTCCCCCACCCAACTTGGACGAATGAGCGCCAAGAGCATTGCAATCTTGAGCCAATGGGCTGTTTGCGGCCGGCTAGCAATGCATGACCTTCCTGGCTATGTTTGCACGGCTGCAAGGGCAACCCTGCCTGTTGTTCGGAGCACATATGAACCAGGAATCATCTCGTGCCAATGCCACCGAAGGATTCCGCCCAGGCAAGGCAGCTGACGAGAGTTGATTCAAACCAAGGGAACTTGGTGTAACCTCTTCTGTGTGTGTGTGTGTTTGTTGTGCCTGGTGTTTCCTTTAATCGATAGAACATGTTGGTCATTTGAGGGCTTGGCCTGGAGAACCTTTGCCGAAGCGGTGCGAGCCAGGTCCGGCGCCGGAATGCCAGCCCAGCGCCAAAGGCTGACTCCGAGGGACCTGCTGAGTGCGCGGACTTGTTGCTTGTGCCACAGCAGATGGTGAGAATGGCTATGAAGCTTTACTGGGGAGCCCCATGAAACGCGGCTGGGGGACATAAATCCCCACCTAAATGATGTCCACCAAAGGGTCCCTAATTGAAATGTCATACCCATATCTGGCATGAGCCTTGATTGGTGACTTTGCAGCAGCCCAAATTGGGCTTCACAATCCCGAAGCAAGAGTTCTCCTGCTTGCTCGAGCTTTGACAGGCGGAGCGAGGCGAAGGCAAACCTGCTGTGAAGGATGACCGCGCTGAAAAGGCACGTTGGCAAGTGTTTCACTTGAATCAACTGGGCCACGGAGCAGTGAGTCCTCGGCTCACTACAGTAAGTGTTCAGTTGGTTGTGTGTTTCAAGCTCTTCAAGCTCTCACATGTTTCAAATCATGTCCTGTGGTGTGTTCGTGAAAAAAAAAAACACACTGCCTGATTCCGGTTGGTGAACTGTTGGGTGTCGCCTTTTGAAGCGTTCCCAACTGGTTCTGCCGGACTAGGCAGCACCGGCTGATGCCCGAGAGGGGGTCGAAATGGTGGGCTGGCCTCTCGGGCAAAGCGCTCGCTTGGGTTGGGAGGGGGGGGAATGGGAGTGCTGCGTATGGTATCGTATGGTTTCCATGGTCAGAGGGCCTTCTATTTAGAGTTCTATGGCCCGCCTTTGGGCTCCTCTCCTTTGATCAGATCCGTTGCTTGTACCCAAGAAGTGAGGGCTCGGCTTTGCAGGCAGGCGGTGTTGCTTTTCCTTGCGCGGCGAGACGTGCAGACAGAAGTAATGCTTGAGGATAATCCTATTGGTTTCGACGCAGATGGTCATGATAGTCTACACAAAGAGGCGCGTTGCTTGCAGTTGCATGCTCGCTTGTTTTGTTTGCAGCCTTAGCTGCTGAAGTTTCCTCCAGGTGTACCACCCACGCGCCGCTTCCGCTGCTACTCTGTCTGGCGCAGTTTGTGGTATCAGCCATGTTGGCTGCACTCGCTCCTTGGCAGAGCACTTTGGAGAAGCAGAGGCAACTGCCGGCTGGAAGTCTCACAAAGATGAGGCATCGCGTTCCACCATCCTAGATTGATCAAGAAGTGACCATTCCGCGGGCGTAAAGTTTGATGAGCCAGTGTTGGCACAACTCAGTCATTTGATGCCATTGCCGTTGCCCTGCCTGATGGCTGCTTGGGGCATTTATGTTCTGTGCAGTCACAACTCAAACTGCCCGAAAGTGCGCTCGCAACTCACACAGGCGACGGGGCTTCCTAGTCAGGCTGCCTGTCTTGGTGAGGCACACTGCAACTCATATCTTACTTTGCGCGCCATACTCTACAACACATGGGCCAGTCTCAAAATGTTGGACACCCCCAAAGTGGGTTCGTGATCTGCCTGCAAAGTAACCTCAAAACGGGTATGGGTCAAAACCGCAGGTTTAAGTTCTTGGTTCCATTTACCAGGATTCCATTTTGTGTACCGATTTTTGACCCACACCTGAACAAAGACACGCCGGAAACTCAGCTGCGCCGAGGTGTGTCTTTGGCGTGGGGTGCATCTTTGGGCGCCCAGGGAAGTGATGCTGGATGTGCTGCCGCTGAGCGTCGTGCGGCTCAATTTAGAAGCTCCGGGCGGGCGCAGATGGAAGGTGAGCTCAATTTCTTGCGATTGTACCCTCCCACCAGCGAACATGGAAGTGCACAGACCCCTGTGGAAAGACTACTTTCCTGTTGGAAAAGGCTTTTAGTAAGTGTGTTGGTGCTGCCAGCCGATAAGTTATCAAAAACGGGGGACACACAAAAATATGTAGCTTGAATACCCTTCGCATGTTCTTATGAAGAGACGGGTCCAGCAGGATAGGAGACAAGTATGAATGTCAAATTTGTCATCAACTGGTCGGTGTGTTTGCTTTGCAATCGTGCTTAGGTCATAGCATTTGCCATACCAACAAACTTGAGCTGCTTCGCCGGAAATAAATACTAGTCATCAAGCAAAAGAAACGGCTCTCGGACGCTTGTATGTAGAATTTCCAGCAAGTTGCCCTGAGTGGTGCAACCGCCATGTCCATTCTTGGTGAAGCCTGTGCACGGAAAGGCTGCCGGCAGGGTATAAAGGTGTGCACATGCGCTGTGCTGCTAACATGGCTACAGGATTTGCTGGATTTGTGGAACGGGCATTCCTGAAGCTTGAGAAGGTGGCTGGCTGCCAAAATAAAGAACTTGATAGGACCGTTTATGCGAGTGGTGTTTTTGTTTTGTTTTGTTCGGCCGGCTCAAGCAGAATAGTCAGGAGTTGAACATAGGACTGAACGAGTGCCACAACGCAGCCACGGTCTGGAAGCTCGAGGAAACGATTGGTGGTGCTCGCTTGAGCTCTATTTGTTGGCCCTTTGCCTCTGAAGGCAGCAAGCATAGTTTGTTCATGATGCTTGGTAGTTGGATGAGGATGCCAAGAAACAATTGCAGGTTTTGACCTTGACAAAATTGAGATAGAGTTGGGGTTAAACAAACCGAAGTTTCCACAAGCAGAGAGTCACAATCAAAGCCCGAATAATTGGGTGCGGCCGGCTTGTCATTTTTGTTTACATGGTTCTGGGTAGACCATTTTAATGCCAGGTTTTGATTATGATTCAGATGACATGAACCGCTGAAGCTGAGGAAAGCACTCATGTAGAAACATGTTTGGCGGAGGCGCTTACATCCATCCCAATTGGACTCGTATAGAACCTATGCATCATGTGGTGCCACGCAACACTTGACAAACCCTCTATGCCTTAGATGGGGCGGCTCAAGAATGGTAAGGAAAAGCGGCAGGAGTCAAGCTCAAGCAGTTACCTATGACATGGGACCTACAAAGCCGCAAACTGATATCGAAGTGTGGTTGATGGCACGTGCATGCAACGGGTTTGCCTTTGTAGTGACCGCGATGTTAAACACAGTTGCCTGGCAAGATGCTCTCCGCACTTGATCGCTGATGTTTCGCTGGGTCTTTGAGACAGAAACTTGGGGGACACCTCAGAAATTGCACACTTGGAGGGTGTTCAGAAGGAGCGCCTGCAAGATGCGGTTCAGAACTTCCGAGGACAACTTCTTCAAAAGTCCCAGTCAGCTTCACATGTGCGCACCTGCACAGCCCATACACTAGTTATCCACTGAGTTTTAGGTTTAATTATGACTCCTGACTGACCCATATATTCATCGCTGTCATGTTTGCGAATGACTTTGCAAAGCAGCTTAGGTGGACTGGTGGTTTCATTCTCTTCAATGCGGCTACCATGCATATGAGCCCTGGCATGGTGAATGTTGTACGCCCCCTGGCTGCGGAATGTGCAAGGATTATGTTGTATTCTGGAGATCCTGCCCGCAAATGTCAAGAAGGGTGTGATGAATTTCGTTGAGCATCGAAGGCTGCCCTTTGTTTATGTGTTCGGTTCATTCTTGCAGCTTGTAATGGCTTGTTCCTCCTTGTTTTAGGAGCCATGGGCCACGAGCCAATAGGTTCCGACGCGGAATCACTATCTCGACTTGGCACTCGTGGATTCATCCACAGTTCGTTGCCCGATGATTTGAGGGGCGTGCATCACCAAGCAAAGACTCGACAATCACATCCCGTTTGAGTACTTGCAGGTTTGGCCCGAAGTTGAAGCCAGATGATCATGGTTGACCATGTTGACCTGTCTTATTACGTGATCAACCACCCATGCCACCAAGACTATCAACCAGGGCTTCACTCATTACGTGATCAACCACCCATGCCACCAAGACTATCAACCAGGGCTTCACTCATTACGTGATCAACCACCCATGCCACCAAGACTATCAACCAGGGCTTCACTCATTACGTGATCAACCACCCATGCCACCAAGACTATCAACCAGGGCTTCACTCATTACGTGATCAACCACCCATGCCACCAAGACTATCAGGGCTTCACTCATTACGTGATCAACCACCCATGCCACCAACACTATCAGCCAGGGCTTCGCTCATCATGGATTTTTGCAAGCCTGTGCGTTTGTCCTGGGAAGGATGTGAAACCTTGGCTTCCTTTGGCTGCCCTATCACCTCAAAAAGCGTGTTCCCATTTTTTGTCGCCATTCGCAAGGCTGCATGGAGCCACTGGCGGCTGTTTGCGTGGGCCTTGTACTGGGCCATCGCTTCTCGTGGACGGTGCTCGTGACGCTGCTGCCCATTTGCAGCGGAGAATCTTGTCGGAAGTGACAGCTTGGTGCGTAGGTTCCACTTTCTGACTACCGCGAGGTAGACTTAAACCTGGTGGTTGAATTCTCCCAAAAGGAATCCCTGGATTGACGTCAACCGGGGGAAGTCAAAAGTTGACTTTGGATGCGTTCGTCAAATGTGTGTCATTCTGCCAACTCCTTGAGCAATGACGGCACTTTGGGTTGGTGAGGTCGCGCTGGCATCAACTACTGGAGGACAGGTCTCATCATGTGGAGTATGGTTTGCCATGCTGTCCAACCTCGCATTTTGCTGCAGCTCGACCAGCACAGGGAGGTTTGGAGTGCACGATCAACATTTGGGCATTTGGAGCCTGTTTGGGTTCATCCCAAAAGCTGGCCAAGATCTGATTTCAGGGGGGTTGGTTTTCAATGAAATCCAGGTCGCACGTTCTGCCTGCAACGATTGCAGCGAAACCAGCTCAACAAGTGCCTTGGATTGAATGTTGCTTGCGGCGGACCTGTTTAGTGCGCAGAGTGTGATATCCGGATCCCAACATGTTCATCCTCAAGTTCCCTTATCTCCAAACACCGAAAAGTCCCAAGTCCCCCCATTCCTTTTGTATCCCCCAGAAATCCTCAAGTCATCTTTCAAGTCATCTTTCCCTACATCCTGAAGTCCTCGACTTGCAAGTCAGAAGTCATATCTGACACCTTTGGATCAACGACCGCCCTACATCCCCCTGAAGTCCTCGAGTCATATCAAGTCATAAGTCATATCTGCCACAAATTTGGATCATTTTGGATCCAAGAAACCGACCGAGGCTGGATGACCTGGCGGTCTTCTTCAACGTCTGCTGGATCTCCGGGTCGCTGGTGCCTGGCCTGGAGCTGGCCATCGAGGGCCAAGAGGCCGGGGCGCAGTCGCAAGCCATGGCAAGAAGGACGCGGCACCGGGGGCCCTTGGGGGGGCAAGCCCTTGGAGCCGGTTTTGAGGTTTTGGGGGGCCGTAAGCCACTATTTATTGGGGGGAAAACCAAAGAAAAAGCCAGCTGGAGCAGGGATCTCCGAGCTGGTTGAACCCAAAGGTTGGCAAATTGCTGCTTTTGGAGCTGCCCCACATGCGGCGCAACACGACACTAAGAGCGGTCCCCCATTTGCACCAGACAAGTTGGCGCTTTGGTTTCGTTTAGTTCCCAGCTACTCAAACTAGTTGCAAAAGGTTCCTTTTGACACATTCCCCACATTCTGGACACTCCATGGAAGTATGAAGTTCATGACGCTGGCAGTGAATTAAAATGCCAGCAATCCCCATTGAGATTGTCAGAGATTTCATACATCCAGTCCAAATATCCATATTCATATCAGTTAGCTGCAATTGGTTGACTGAACATGTAATGGGATTCGGAGATACTTCCTATGTTTGCTCTCAAAGAATGTGTATTTTGACATCTAAAGGCAATCAATGAGCATCAAAGGCTGCGAAATAGCCTATGTGATGCAATAGCCTATATCATGCAATAGCCCATCTAATGCAATAGCCTATCTCATGCAATTCAGTTGCAAGCAGATTTGACTGTCAACCAGTGCTGTTCTTGCGCAATGTGCATTTTTGACTGGCCAGGTACTGCCAGCTTTGCCTCGTGGCAGCAGAAGCCTTTGCCTTGCTGAAGCCGTTTGATATTGTAAATAGAGCATACCGTCCTCGGCTTGTGTGCCTTGCAAAGTAAACATCTGTGCGTCGCATGCCACAGGAGATTGCTACCCACATTCCCACATCTGAGGCAAGGTCTGATCTCTACAGGGCAATTGTGGTCGTATGCATGTGATACTTGGCTGTGAACGGGCGGCTTGGTGGGTTGAGCATGAGACAGCTTCGCCATTGAGAGCATCTCATGCGTCTCAGGATATGCTAGCTAGCAGTGTGGCGTTCTTTCTATACCAGAGCCTCGGCCCGACACGTTTCTTGATGTTTCCAGCCTGTCCGCAGATAGTGAAGCTACACCTGAGACACATCACGACCTTTTTGGAAGCTGCATGTGGCCGGCATGTGGACGCGCTGCATAAACATTGGGCCATGCAAGATTGACAAAAAAGCCTTTCGGAAACAAACTCGCATTAGTCCATGCAAAAATAATGTTGAGAGAGAGTCGTGCGTAGGTTTCTTTGTTCGGGGCTAGGGCGGCAAGCATTCCTTGATCCGCTTGTCAAGGTTCGTGCAGCTGCTGGTCATGTCCAAGCTGAGCCCTCTTGTCACTTGTAACAAGTTGTGCGATTTCCTGCGCGTACTTTTGACTTCCCACTCACAGCCATGGCTTTGTCAAGGGGCCTTGCAAGAGATGGGAACCTGACTGCTTTCAGCACCCCAGGCTTTCTCGGTCCTGACGCCGGTTGTCAAGGCACGGCCGGCGAAATGAAATGTTCAATGTTTGAGCATACCTTTGCTTCCACGATGCTCGCAACATAGGCAATGCTATGCGAGCTAGATTCAATGTCAGCGGATTCACCATGTCGGCCCTGCGTTGTCAGGCTTTGATGATAGTTACGCTGACCGTGTACTACGCCGATGATTTCAGCTCACAAAGTGTGCAGCCCTCAGTTGCACTTTGTTATTGCCAAGATGCTTTATTGAGGGCTTGGATCGGCGGGCTTGTTTTCAAAGCTTCATGCTTGTTGGCTGGTGGACTGAACACTCAGCGGCAGCAGAACCAACCAGACTACACCGGAGTGCCCAACATCCTCATTGGCTATCCTGGCAGGTGGCACTATCTCATAGAGGTCAACACCACAATGTGAGTCACAATCGAAACCGGGCAAATGAAGGTTAGTCGGGGGCAATCCCAGCCAACAATGGTTGCGGCCGCCGTTTCAGTTTCTTACATGGCTCTGGGTTCACCATGTTTGTACCATGTCTTCATTATGACTCATGTGTAGCATCAAGTATCAACAGCTTGGTACTACTTCTTGTGAAACCATCAACTGTCTGGGCAACTTGGCTTATGATCTACTTCAGTAAGGACTCAAGCTCTAGCTTACAAACACCTGCCACTAGTTTCTTCACCCTGTAAGCACCTCACACCGCCATATGCAGGAAGTTTGACGGGCCGTTCTTCTTTAAACAAGACGCAGGTCAGAATTCCACAGTTTCCACTACAAGTCCTTGGTATATATTGTGACGGTCGGAGCTTTGACTTGTGCAGCTGGCGCGCCAGTCAAACAAGTATTCGTGTGGTTTGCTCAGGTGTTGGGCATTGCCTTATCCGTGGGCGGCGGCTACCTCTTCACTCGTGCCAAGGCCAGAGAGGGCAGCTGTGGATGCATGCAATTTGCATCATAGCCCATGGCAGCTGAATGTTCTGAAATCAAGTTGGACATTGAATAGGAGCATCCGGAGTCCTCATGTCATAAGAGCTCGACGGTGTCACTTTCTTTATTTGCTTTTGAACCCCCCCATGCTTGAAGCAGCCAGATTTACAGTGTCACCCTTGTCCTTTTGCTTTTGAACCCCATGCTTGAAGCGGTCAGATTTGAATCATTCAAACATGAAGCTCCCCCGTGATGCGGTGTTTTGTTTGACGGGCAGCTTGTGTTCGGCTAGCGCGCCCTGAAGGCAGCCCAGGCCAAGCGGGAGGCGAAGAAGGCGTAAGCCCCGTTTCACCAAAGATGCTTTAGGGCGGCGCGACTCGATGGGCAGTGAAAAGGACACGAGAAAACGGAGTCGGAGTGGGACTGGCTTTTGGCCTTGTGCATAGAGTGCCATTCGGTGAGCCTGAGGCACAATAGAGACGTACATCAGCATATACAGCAGATCGCGTCAACGTTGGAGGAGAACTCTCAGCAGGAGCAGGCCTGGGGACAAGAAACGGCGGGCTTGGTCGGACTAGTGTTGCAGTGTTATGGTAAACCAATATGGCACGTTAAGATATTGTCAACAAAAGAAGCCAGAACATATTCTCCAGTGTTGCCAAACACTCGGATTGTCCGAGGTGACATGGTTCATCAGCTTTCGTTTGGGTCATGTCGACACGGCCTGGGCTTTCAGCCCTGAGGACGTCGATGCTCTTCTGGAGCGCGGCGAAGTGGTGGACTTGGCCGGCTCTTGTCATTCGAAGTCCCCAAGTGAGTGGTTTGGGGTGCTGGACGTCAAAGTTATTTCCCGTTTGACTCATGCCAGCCGTGTTTTTCTCTGTCACCCTCATACGATTGAGAGTCGGGGGTTTTATGTGGGGCCGACCTGGTGTAGCTTTTATTGTGCACTTGTTTGTTTTCCACGTAGCAGCTCTCATTCTACAGATTTCACAAGGAGATGGCGGGACGCCACGACATTGTTCATAGAGGCGCATTGTTTTTTGTGGCAGGTATTTTGTGGCTGGCTGCCTGCCTGGCTGGCTGGCTGGCTGGTTGGTTGGTTGGTTAGTTGGTTGGTTGGCTGGCTGGGCGGCCGCATGCCCAGCATCCCTGGTTACTTGGGGTCAGGGCTGCGTATTGGCCAGAGTTGCTCGGGCTCAACCGGCTGCATCCCCAGCATCACCGGCCTCACTCACACTAGGGCTGCCTGTTGGCTTTGATTTGGTGGCAGTTCAGAGTTGCTCGGGGCTGGTTTCGGGTGAGTGTTGGGTTTGCTGAGGTCTGTATGAGGGCGAGTCTTGGGTTTGTTTGGGGTTCATTTAGTCTTCCAAATGGGTGACTGCTACCCCAATCCGAAAGAACCAATGCCATTTGGAGCAAGGCCATATTTTTGTCCGGCCAGGTTCTTGAGCTTCAAACGGGCATGCTCAAGTTGTGTCAAGAGTAGCTCGGCCGTGCGAGTAAGGCCCGGAAGCAGGGTGACCATGACGTGCTTCCGTGTGACCAAGGTCATCCTCCAGCGAGTCGGCAAGACAATTGCAGCCTTCGTGGCTCCTTATTACCAGCAGGGCGCCTGGAGAGGCCAAAGGCGGCCAAGGGTCGCTGTTTGTTGGCCGCTGCCTGGTCCAATCTCCCAAAACTACTTCTTACGGACTATGCAGGCGTGCGCACCCCAAAAGGCTTCTGTTGCAACGGCTTGTGCCGCTTGACCTGCTGGCAAGCCTGGAAGAGTTGTATCCAGAAATGCCACCCAAGGCAAGCCATGCCAGCAGTGCCAGGACAAGCTGCGCTGCATTTGCATGTTGCCTCGTGCATGAGCGTTGATGGCTGTTTTATCGATCGAGTGGTCACCTTCAACAGGTTCAGCAGGCCGCAGTTGTTTCTCTTTTGGTGTCTTTTTTAATTCGGCCGCTAGAAAAGTGTGGCATTGTGCGCCTTCGTCCCAATGCGTGCGCTTCAATTTGTCAATTGGGCTCGCAGGACTGCATGGGCTTGGCCACATGCCATATCCACCAGAGAGTTATATGGGTGCCGGACTTGTGAAGCACCCGAGCTTTGTGTTGAACTTGACAGCCTCCCCCAAAGACAGTCTTGCCAGCAGAGCAGAGATTATGCTGAGTGGTTGAGTGGGTCTGAATGTGTTAATACAACCAAACAAACAAGTCTACAACCTAAATTTGGCCTCAGAGCTGACGGTGGAGAGAAGTGATCTTGCAGCTGCTGTCAAGGTGCACCAATGGGACACTTGCCTTTTAATCATCCAGGCGCACATCCATTGCTAGGTTCTGTCCTCGGGCAGAGAGCATGATCGGCCATGTTTTGGCTTCAGTTCGTGAAAGCAACCCATGAAATTAATATGTTGCTTTTGCTGGCGCGGGTTGGTCGATTCAGAGAGGTGGTGGTCCGGGCTAGCATTCAAAACTCAAAACAAGTCTGAATGTGACTCCTCCCGCGTCCACTGCTTGAGGTGCGAATTACCCGATGTATCCGATGCCGCCCATGCGATGAGGCCCGCGCCCGAGTGTACCGGGGTAGATCGGGAGAAATATACATTCTCTCAACAGTGGGACCGGAACCGTGCGCGAAGAAACGCCGGACCCACTGCCAAGGTGCATGGCACAAGGCGCCTGTGAGCAAGGGGCTACCTCCCAAGGGTTGGTCGTCAATTGCCTTGTGCCTATCGGATTCGTTTCTAGCATGAATTTGAGCCGTCTCACCCTCGTCTAGTTATGGAGGAAGTACCTGCCACCAGTGCAGATATTGTGCATGACACTTCAGTTGTTCATCATTCAATTGTGTGGGAGAATTGGATTCTGAAGACAGCAGCTGTTGCTTCAGTCTTTTGCCTGACATACTTCCGCATCACCTCATAGGACCTTGCAAGTTAGTTCTAGGAATTGCGCATGCCATCCCATCGGCGACTCCATTATATTCGGTGTATCGGCTTTCTACTGGCTCTTCCAGTCGCGAGCGTGGCATGTTCAATGCAGCATCGACTGCAAGTTGCTTGCTGAGCTGAACAAAAGAGACGGATTTTCGCGGTACAAGCTGTTTGGAGCCTTGGAGGCTGCCGGTCGGCCCGTGTCAAGATGGCCATGGGTCAAAATCCAAATCGTACCCCCAGTGAACATCCCGATCCCCACTAAAATAGACCATTGGTTTTGACCCACAGCCAGATGGTGAGAATGGACAGCCATCTCCGTGGGCCGTTGAGATACAAGCTCATAGGCAGAGAGAGGGAGAGACGGAGAGACCGACATGCAGAGGCATGAGACACATGCGCAGAGGCCCACAGGCAAGCGAACTCGCAGACGCACACGTTGCACATACACCACGCACTCACCCACGTCACGCATCTTTTTTTTTACGCATCCACGAAGTTGATCACATTTGGTGCATGGTGAGGGACATGTGGTACGCTCTATTTCAACCAGGTGACTGTATAGCAAACGTCGACCGTGGCACACAGAAATGTATGACATTCAGTGCCATTGTGGAGACTGTCACCTGTGGAATTCTTCGGCCTAGCCTGTCCTCTCAAGTGGCAACCAAGACTTCACCTAGCGACTTGACAAGAGTCTTCATTGTGCATACAAGGACACAGATCCTTGGTTTGCACACTTTCATGTCATGTGAGGAGTTTTGACCAAACAACTTGGTGCTCACAGGCCAACAAAGCACAACCACTACGGCCCAGAAAAACGCTTCCAGGCAGCCCGCACTTTTCAGACTTTTCAGGCACAGGCGGCCGATTTTGCCCACTGCTTTTGTGCTTAGCGCTGGTCGGGCCTGGCGACCACCGGTGCCGGGGTGCGGGGCTTGGCAGCTTCCGGTTGCCGACAGTTGGGGATGGCACAATTGCGGCCTGGCCAAATTTGGGTTTAGTCATTCCCTGGTATCACCTATGAATGCCTCGTGTAACCGCCTTGGCGTAATCACCTGGTGTAACCACCTGGTGTGGCGTCTATCAAAATCACCAGGGCTCCTTAAAAGATACATTTTGCCCAGTTGAAACATGGCTTTTTTCACCAAAGTTTAGGGAACCCGCCAATTACAAGGCAATGTTCAGGATAATGGAAGGATCCCTGATTACTTTCACGGTGTAATTAGCTACTTTGTGCAGACAGAGGCCATGAGGCCCTTCTTCAAGCCAGACAGCCGCGCACTCGGAGCCCGAGGCTATGGCCATAGCTTAGATGGTTTTGTTTCGCTCTTTTCCAAACCGCAATATTCTACATCTTCCCGTTGCAGGAGAGGGGTTTGCATCAATAGCTTAGATTGGTTGTTTCCTAGCCGCAATATTTTACGTCTTCCCATTGCCGGAGAGGTGTTTGTTTCAAACAACGAGAGTTCAAAGCTTTTTCATCTTCCCACTCACTGGAGAAACTTGATATTCGTGACGGAGCCAAGGTTGCTGCTTGTTTTCCATTGGCTCGTGGAGGAAAGGTCCAGGGCAATTAAATTCCACCCTCTATGTCCGCCCCAAAACAAGAACTCTGAAGGACCAGCGATTGCTGAGCTTATGTTGCTCATGTCACTTACGTTTCAGTGTCTCCTTTATCTCCAAGTAGGCCCCCCAAACAACTTTCCTTCAAACCAATCCCTGAAAAGTTTACCCCGACAAAAGACATACGTTGTCAAAACTAATCGGATCCCATTTTGGGGTTTTCGGTGAATTCACCACCCATTTTAGAGCCTATTTTAGTGGTTGGATTGGGATGTTCACTGAAAGGTAACCGGGATTTTGACCACATATCCATGTGGCTGCGGGTCAAAACCCTGTACCGCTGGTGAACATCCCAATCCCCATTAGAATAGGCTCTAAAATGAGTGGTGCATCTACCCCAAAATGGGATCCCATTGGTTTTGACAACCACAGCCATGGCCTTGTAGCTCACCCTGGACCTTCGACGTGTTTGAGGTTGCAGCGTCGATGGGCTGTCCTCCGTGGGCAACCCGTTGTCTCGCGCGTTTGACGCGCTGACAGCGGCTGGGGTGCCCAGCTTGCTGAACATTGGGTATGAGTCAAAATTCAACCAGGGGACCGCAGGTTTTACTCCTTATTTTTCTACTTGCCAGGGTTCCATTTTGGGTACCTATTTTTGAGCCAATATGAGCGCAGTGCACGAATCGCGAGTTAGCCTGTTTGGTGATGAATTAGCGGTGGTTCTCCTTCTGTTCAGTATGCATCATAGTGAAGGCTATATCAACCTTTTTAGCCATATTGATCCAGCCAAGAGCGAATGATTTTTGTTCGACAGAGACGGCGTGCTTGAGTCATCTTGGCCTTTCCAGAGATAAAACAGGCCTTTCGCATCTTCCAGCGCTGGCATTGGTCCAGCGCTACTTTCCTCATGCCTTGAGGACAAGCACCATGCGCAGCAAATGCGGGAGGGCTACCTCAACGGAATGAGGCTGGGGCTCGGAAGTACCGGATCAATGCCCAAATCAACTTGAAGGCAATGCTATTATTGTTATCATTCTAATTATTAATTTGTGGAACATATGGTATTATTGCTGGTGTTTGCCATAAATTGCTACTCGTTGTTTTCAATGCTTGTGGTTGGTTGGTCACTGTGTTGGTGTCACTGCTATTTGTTCTTTTGTTATCCCCACAGATCACGATGGGCCAAGCAAGTATCTTTATACGAAGTCTCGTTCAAATCTCATTGCTAGTGGCATCATTATTGCATTGTGTTCGACATCATCGTTGTTTGCAGCTGCTGCTGCTGCTGCTGCTGCTGCTGCTGCTGCTGCTGCTGCTGCTGCTGGGGTTGGGGTTGTGGTTGGGGGTGTTGGTGATGGCAGCGGCGGTGCGCTGCTGCCGCCGCTGCTGCTGCTCCTGCTCCTGCTGATGCTGCTTGCTTGTACTTGTTGGCGACGTGGCGGTGCCCACAGGCAGTGCAACGGCACTTACCAGTGCAAGCCAGGGTCCGCCGGAGCTTTTTGAGTTTCGAGCTGATCCATCAGCTTTTTGCATGGTCGAGATATTTTCTGAATTCCCATGACACTGGGCCAGCTCTGCCCGCAGGCCGCCGTCCAAAACTCAGTCGCTCTGATGTGCTTCCTTTTCACATTCCATTTGGCCATGGCTAGTCGGCTAGACCAGCAAGGGGATGAACATGATGGCCACCAACTCCTTGAATTAGATGCTGGATACCAATGATACCATGAATTCGCAGGCGAGCTGTTTTGCTGTTTTGACCGTTGATAAGCACAGGTGTATTTGTAGAGTCAGCTACAGATCTTTGCAACCAAGACAGGCAGCTCTTTGTCCCGACTTTGGGTCAGTGGAGCAATTTTCCATTGGCATGCTCAGGATGGGCCCCATGGGCGGCCAGATGTTGGATCCCATGAGGGGCGCAGCACCCTGAGAGGGCGCCAGGGCCAACCCCCCAGGTTCTTTCGACATGATCCGACCCCTGAAACGCCTCAGCCAGCTAGTGCCACAATCTTGGGGCACAGCCACTCTGGGTGGCTTCGCTGCGTGCCGTGGGGAGGGCCTCCCTTTTTTTTTGGTACGTTCAGGGGGAAAAATGGGAGCACCAGGACATGGAGAGCGCCTGGCGAGAAGCTGGCGGCATGCAAAGGTTCGCTGGCTCAGCATACGGACTCGCATGGAAGCATGGCAAAATGCCGAAGGGAGCGACGTGACAGCACTTTCGTGTGTGTGTGTGTGTGTGTGCGCAACCTGGGAGGACACTCGTTCGAAGTCCAGCTGTGGCTGTCACCCGAATTCATGGCTGTTTCGTTTCCACGGGGCACTCACGTGCCCCGGAACGAAGCTAATCTTCATTAACAGGCAGAAGGTTGGACATGAGCAAGCCTTGGTCTCATTTGTACGGGTGTTTTACAGGCTTGGATGGAACAAATTTGTTTCAAGATTTCCAAGCGCTCGTTCAATTTGAGCGCAATCAGAGCTTGTGGCCAGGCCCGGGCCAGGCATGGGCGCAGCGATGCCGGTGGCTGAGTTGGCCGATTGGCGAAGGAGGTGACTCAAGACGTGGGCTGTGGCTGAAGTGGGGCTTGGGGCTGACCGTCGGTGTTTGCCAACGCTTGGTGAGGGACAAACCCGGGCAGGCCAAGCCATGACCGGCTGGGCAGAGATTGACTGGAGCATGTGTTTCCAACCAGCAACTCGCACAGCCACTCACGCTGCTTTTTGTTTTCCTAGGATAGCGGCTTCTTGTCGTCCCATCGTGTTTTCTCCTCGATCTCCTGTGAGTTTGTTTTTTAATGTCCGAGTGCGGATGGGATCGCCATCCATCGCCTGCGCGCCGCAAGGTCCGAGCAGTTCCGACAGCACATGGAAGCCGCCGGTCCCATGGCGGAGTCCAAGCCTCGGATTGGGCGAGGCGCAAGGCGTGCCTGGCGCTCGATGGGTTTGCTCGCTGAGGCCCGGATTTTTCGACGGGCCGCCGCCCCGGAGCTGATCGCCGGTAAATGGAAGACGCAATGAATGGATGGATAGAGCAAGAGAGAGAGAGGGAAAGAGAGAGAGGGAGAAAAACAACAACAAGAAACAGAGAGAGAGAGAGAGATAAAACGGAAGGATAGATAGAGAGAGAGAGAGAGGGAGGGAGAGGGTGAGTGAGAAAAAGAGTCCAGAGCACTCACTCGTGGCAAATCTAGGCCCGCGCCTGTGGGCATGGCAATGCCAATGCACGCCAGCGGCTTTCTCAGCTCTGCGCGAGGTACTTGCAGTATCATAAGAATCCTGTGGAGATCCTGGGGTCATTATTTCGATGGTTTCTGGGGGTTATCAAAGTCAGAAAATGGGGTTATATCCCTTTAACCCACCACTGAGGGGGTGACTCTGATCATGGTGAAATAATGAAGCCAGAGATCAGCCTGTTACGCCATAGGAGGGCTTGCTACGGCAAGCGCGATGTTGGATGCGATTAGTGTCCTCGCCTGAATATCACAGACAAGATGGGAGCTGATGCCCATCAGGTGGTGACTGGGCGCAGGAGTTTGCGCGGAATCCCAGGTGTGACGAAGACGATGTCATGTTGCTTTGTGAGGTCCTTCCCGACGACTTGGGAGATGCTTGTCCAAGCTGGTTGGATACCTACGACCCAGGAGTACTCCCATGTTCCCTAGACCTAAACCTTTCAACAAACTCCCAATACGGTGAAGTAAGTCAGTGTGTGGAGTGAGTTCCCAATTAGCTCGGGTGCAGCTCAGCGACCCTGCCCCCCGCCTTTTGTTTTTCGGCAGCCCTGGTAATATATAAAATCATTTGTCATCCACTGGACCTGGATGGCACTCACATCGAATTGTGATTGGGTACTCAGTTACCGAATTCTCCAAGCCAGTCGGGGTCAGAATGAGCAGTGAGTGATTAGTCATGTACATATGAGCGGCGTTCTTTTTTGGAATGAAGGCCCACATCTTCGCGGCGACATTTGTTACATGTCGCGTAGGCGGTTGGCTGACAGGGTCACCATCGCGTAGGTGTGCGTAGGCATTTCGCGGAGGCTTCGAAGCTTCAAGTAGGCAGTCGCGTAGGCGGACGCTTGTGAGCTTGAATGTTGAGCATTGTTGTTATGCAAGACATGGTTGTGAGAACGTTTGTGAGTGGCAGTTTAGCGCAAGCTGTGGGTAGCAGCTTTTGGCCAGCTGCCACAAGCTGGCGGTTGCTGCCAGAGGGAGGAGAAGGCCGCTTGTCCAGCAGTGCAGCTGGCAACTCGTACTGCGGCGCGGCTGCTAGTAGACCCGCTACGCTCATAGGTAAAACACAATTTTCCGAAGCTCAGAAAAAAAAGAAAAAAAAACAGGCGGATTTCGCATCGGCTCCGCGTAGGCTTTGCGTAGGCATTTCGTCTAAAATCTGACCAGAGGCCCGTCATGGCGCCCTCCGTCTCACCCCGTTCCTCCATTGCAGGCTACGGCAGCTGCCTCCAAGCTCGTTTTCTTCGTGCACCGTGCTCCCGTCCAAGAGCGGTCGCATCGAACCTCCCCGTATCCGAGGGTAAAAAGCGCGTCGAGCTCCTCGTTGTCGCGTAGGCGGCGTAGGCAGGTATGTAGTCAACCGCAGTCAACTCAGTTTCGGGTAGGCTTTTTTGTGGCACTGCTGCTTTACGCGCAGGCGTGGCGTAGGCGCCGCGTAAGCAAGTAAATAATGATAAGGACCCACACAACCAAAAAGCCACTGCTCATATAATATAATCAACATGTATAAGTCATATGTATATATATATATATACATCTGGTATATCTATTCGTTTAGATATTGTCACTCATATGGCGACTGCTCAAGGGCCAGACTTAAACTTTCCAAGGCGGGTGCCGGTCCGCAAGCGGCGCACCCGATGCAGAGCGGGCGGGGCGACTGGGCCAGGGAGTGCCTTGGCAGCGGTAGACGTTGAAGCTTCGTTGGGTGTGCGTGTGTTGGTTGCGGGTACCCATGGGTACTAGTACACTTTGTGGGTTGGTTTAGGTATCAAGGGCCCATTGGTGCATGTTTTGCGGGCTGGTTTAGCAACAGAAACCACAAAGGCTTTCACACGAGGAAAGTGACCGTTTCACGGGTCGCACTATTTTGACACACACACACACACCCTGTTGGTGTTCACCGAACATCGAACACAGAACGCGTGATTTGCTAGTTTGACCTGCTTGTATTGAAGATTGCTCACACTCCGGGCTACCAACGTCTCTCGAATTTTGCCCCGCTCCGGGGTACCAGGTGTTCTCCTTCAAGTGTCAAAATTTGTTAATGTTGAAACGCATGTGGAAACATGAACTGTGTTGGCAATGCTTGACCACAATGGCGCATGCCATTTTGGCTCAAGCTTTGCCCTGGGTTCTCTGAGCCCAACTTGTGTGAAAAATTTGAGGTGAAACACTTCCGAACTAACCCCGAACCAGCAATGGCCTCCTCGGCAACCTCGGCAACTTCCTTCGAGCTGATTGAGGACCAGACGCTCACTGCGGAGGAGGTGGAAATGGCCAGCCAGGCGGCCCAGGAAATCCGCACACGCGAAGCGGCAGTGGCGGCCGGCCTGGTGTTGGACGAGCCCGAGGCCCCCACCGACGTGATGAACGACCTCTCCAGTGCACTGGAGCGTCTCCGTGTGGCTTTCTCCACACCGACTTCCGGCTTGGGTGCCCCTGGCCCCGCCGATGAGGAGGACCAGGACATGGACGATGCGGACGCCACGGAGAAGGCTACTCCACCAACGAAGAGGCTGAAGGGTTTCGTGGCGGCTTCCCAGAAGACCTCGGCTCCGGTGAACAAACCGGTCTCCCTTGTGCCGGTGGAGGGCCGTCCTGGCTACTTCAAGTTAGTGGACCTCCCCGACCTCTTCCCGGTCCTTCCGGCATCGGCGGTCACGTTGCTGAGGGACGTCACGGTGGAGGAGGCGGTCTCCCTGTTCCACAAGTTTGTCGGGAAGAACCTCACGGAGGACTTGGTGATTCGCATCCTGGAGGCCTATGTTCCGATGAAGATCCAGATCCGGCAGGAGGAGGTCTGGGCCTCACAGTTCCAGAGGAACAAGGCGTGCATTGGCACCCAGCGGATGCACAGACTCGGCCACTCAGACTATAAATTCATGTGCAAGGCGTGCGGCACGGGGTGGCCGGAGGCAGCCACTCAATGCTGGGTCTGCCCGGGCAAGGAGTTTGTCCCCTTCCAGGCACCCTCGGCTACCTACGAGGCGGACGGCGTCACTTACAACCTGCTCATTGTGGAGGGCAAGCCGACCTGGATCCAGCAGCGGGATGGGGGAAGCCTGGGTGCCACTGGCCCCGGTGGTACCCGGGCACAGGCAGACCGCAACCTGGTGGACGGCACGGTCCTGGGAAGAGCTCCTCCGAAAACGGACACGGCAGAGGAGATCACCATGGCAGACGTGGTCCCGCTTAACAGGCGGGTGGACATCCGGCAGGAGATCCTGTCCATGGAGGCGGACGACGAGTTGAAGGTCCGGGAGCGCCAGGAGGTCAAGGTCAAAGTGCAGCGGTCCCTGCAGGAGGCAGAGGCTCAGAGCTTCCAGCTCTACCACCCCCAGGTGGACCAGGCGATCCGGAAGAAGGAGGAGCTGCATAAGGCCTTGAGGGCGCGGTACAAGGAGCTGGTCACGGATGAGATGCTGGACAATGAGATGGCTATCCTGGCGCCTCTCCAGCAGGGCATGCAGGCCCTGTCCGTCAGAGGAGGTGCCAATGAGGGAGCCGGGCCCTCAGGAAGGAGTCAACCTGGAGCGATTCAAGGCCAAGCTGAGAGACCAGTACCTGGAGGGGAAGGGCGTTGACGCCAGCCAGGCACTGGCTGAGGCGATGGGCTCCATCCAGGAGGCCCAGCACACCAACCAGGCATGGATGCTCAACCACACTCAGGAAGGCTCTGCAAAGGGGGCTGTTCTGCCCCCTGGAGCTGGATGACCCCGAGGACATCCCCAACGTGGGGGACATCAAGGAGAAGTATGTCCCCTACATCCGGAGGCTCAGAGATGCCCGATCTGGCGACGCCGGCCCCCCCAAGGGTGCCACTGGCCCTGGGGGGGACCAGTCAATGCCACCGCAGGACCTGGACTCGGAGGAGGGCAAGTTGTCCCTGCTCCTCTGGGCGATGAAGAGGCACCAAGGGGAGCTGCGGATGTTTGGGGGGATCTGGAAGAAGCACTCAAGCGGTGAGATCCCCAAGGGCGCGGACCAGCAATTCAAGCTCACGCCGGAGGAGCTCCTGGCCCTGGAGCGCAGGACGCACCCGCTCACGTGTGAGCGGGACCACATCGACCCAATCATCTACTCGGCCTTGGAGATCCGAGCGCAGGTGAACCGGGGCGAGCGCCCGGCGCCGGAGCAGGTGGTGGGGATCTTCTGGGCGAAGGGCGATGGAGTGTTTTGGACGAGGCAGACGAGAACGTGGGACCTGCCGAGCTTGACGGGGGTGTACGCCCACAGATTCACCTTCAAGTACATCTACTCGGCCTGGACCACATTCCCGCTGGTCGTGAAGACGCAGCGACGGGGCCGCAATGCGGAGGGCTCGGCCTCGGATAAGTGGATGGGCAACATCCTCCAGATGAGGAAGGAGGCGGTCCCCTTCCTGGAGAGCCTGGGAATCCCCAAGCCGAGCAACAAGGCGGAATGGAGCTACATCTTCAAGGAGATGGGGACGTTTCTGGCGGCCAAGAATTTCATCGTTAACTGCCCATTGCCGGTGATGGAGATCCCGGTTGCCCCCGTCCACGACAGCAAGGAGGCGTTGCGCTTCCGGGCGGTCTGTGACGAGCGAATCACCCTTCCGCTGTCATCGCTGAGGGCTTTCGACTCGGTGTACACCAAACTGGTGTCGGGCCTGAGTAAGTCCTCCATGGTGGAGGTCAAGGTCAACTGGCGTTGCAACGTGGTCCATGACTGGGTGGAGCAGGTCCCGCAGGAGGCGGCGGGGGCCCTGTACGACCGGCTGGGCTACGTGCTCTGGCTCCGGGGGCGGAGCGGCTAAGGAATCGGACCCCAAGGCCAAGATTCTGGGGGGAGCGGACACCACGCTCCGCACGCCGGACCAGGGTACCAGGCAGCACCCTCCGATCACCGCGTCCACGGTCACGGCGGTCGCGGGCCGGAAGTACATCAACAAGCTTCCCGAATGAGACGAAGCACGTGTTTTGGGCCTCCGTGGAGTGCGGCCTGGTCCTGCCCAGCATCAGCGCATGGGAAGTGGTGGGCAAGGAGAAGTTCAAGACCACCGGCTACATGTGCAGGTTCTGCAAGGGCTTCTGGAGGGCGAGCCGTGGGGGGACCAGGCTACTCCAGATCACGGGGTGGCACAAGGACAAGGCCACATGCCTGCAGCTGGTGATGGACGAGCCCCCGGAGCAGCTATATAATCAGTGGATCCGGGACAGGATGGAGTTCTACAAGCGGGTGGAGCCGACGGAGCCACCCAGGGACGAGCGGCTAGTCCTTGGAGATGCGAGCACCCCGCGTATGCGATTCAGCTCCTCGAATGGCCTGGGGGATGTCTCCACTGCCTTGTGGTCGGTCATCTTGAGCAACCCGGAGAAGTCGGGGCTGGCGGCCATCCACTCGGTGGCAAAGGAGGCAATCTTGAGGGGTGAGAGCCGCTAGGTAGTGTCTCACAACCCTTTTGGATTTGGAGTCGTGTGATCTCTTCCCACCGGGATTTGGGTGCCTCTGGCCCCGTCTCGGGTGGGGGGAGGAGTAAGGTTCTCCTTTTGGGTTCATCTTTCACCTTGGTTTCCCAGTTTGGAGAAAGTGGCTGCGGCTGACCCTGGGTTCCCTGAGGTCCCCTTGGGGGTTTTGGGGAATCCCCCGTCGGGTTGGTCTTCCCCCCCCTCTGTGGTTTTTAGGGATTTCCGGGGGGTGGACTTTTGGGTCCTGTTGGGCTGCAGGCTGCCTGCCTGCCCCATTTGCACTCGGCATCCGGCGGGGTTGGAACATGCATGCAGTGTGCCGTGGTTGGGTCCCGGCCGCTCGATAGGAGGCTCGAACCCCTGTTTTCATCATGGCTAGGGTCTCTACAAAGTTTCTTTTGCGCCCGCCTTACACTCGCCTTTGGGACCGCATTCCAAGGGTCCTGTGGGACACGTTGGCGGATGAGTCCTTCTCCCCGAGACAGACGGACGGGGAGCTGCTGGTCCTGATGTGCCTGCGCCACGGCACGGCAGAGGAAGGGAGGCAGCTGGGCGGGGAGCCGGCCATCCGCTTCGTTCAGCTCCTGGAACTCTCGGGCGTTCCGGTGGGCCAAGATGGTACCAACGGACTACTTCAACGGCCTGGTGGCGTCGGCGGCGCAGGCTTCCCCGCCTTTGTCCGCGGCGGACCTGGCCGACCTTTGGGACAGCCTATGGTTCCTCCTCATGGCGGCTACGGACGGCAAGCTGAGCGAGAACTTTTCCCCGCTGGAGTTTGAATGGGAACGTCAGGACTAACTGAGGTGGTTTTCGCGAGATGACCCACCCCCACTCCAACAGCCGGAGCTTCTGAAGTGGAGGCACTGGAGGCCCGGGAAGATCAGGGAAATGGAGCCCACGACCCAGCGAGCGCTGGAGCTCACTTCGCCCCCTTTGCGGAGCACATTGCATACATGCAGGACATCCTGGGGGAGGACTTCCGCAAGGAAGCGTTGGACCTCTTGGGGGACAGCAGGTTCCGGACGCTCAGGCAACATTGCCTGGTCTACGAGAGTCTCCGCAAGAGAGGCTTCACTGTCATTCCATGGCAGGAACGACATGTCCGCTCTCTCCTCAACCAGCTCGCCGATGAGGAGGTCACCCCGTGCAAGTTGCGGCAGGTGTGGAACACCCTCAAGTGGTTCTCCAAGACCTTCGGATTGCTCAAGATAGATGAACTCCATCGCCTCAAGTCCAAGA